TTCCCATGCGGCCCAGAGAAACAAAAAGGTTGGACACCCCTGTTATAAATCTACTCATTATTCACGTAATCGGCCAAATATCTAGCGGGCGGGCGGCTAACAGCCTAGAACCGGTCCCGGATAGAATTGGAAGCGTTATTATGTATAGCATCAACCTAAGGTCGTAGGCTTCCACCGGCTAAACCGGGCGAGGCTGGTGCTCTGTAAGACGCGTGCACGAATCTGGATTTTTGGATGCTGACGATACGGCGCTTCCACTAATATTCGAATATACAATAGCAATCTTATTTTTTTTTTCACGTGTAGTATAGAAATTTGTAATAAAATACATAATGCGGTTATAATAAAATATTGTGCGATTATTTTCATATAATTAAAATTAATATGTATTTATTTTTTAGAAAATACAAGGCTGCATCCACGCTTCCAATGACGGCACGCCCAAGGACTATATACTACAAGGATAGCCAGATCCCTATTCTACAATGTTAGCCAAGAATACCAAGTTAGTGACGTCAGCACGAGACCTGACCTCTATGTTTACATAGAGCAGGGTGTGCACGTGTTTAGTTTTCGCTTTTAATATTCGTCCAATTTTGTGATTAACGAAGTGATTTATTTTAATATTTCTGTAATTGTTTTATTTGACTAAGTTTTTTATAAGGTAAGATGATTTAAATATAAGTCATTAAATATTTAAAGCTATATTTTTATGTTAGGTGAAGAACAAAATGCCGGGTACTAGGTGTGCTGTGTATGGTTGCAATAATAACTTTTTTGCAGTAAAAGCTAAAGGAGAAAGTGTAACGTTTCATGTGTTTCCTAGACAAAAAGACTTAATTTCTAAAAGAATTAGGTCTGAATGGGTTAATCGTTGCAAAAGGAGCGATAAATTTAATCCAGATACAAGCCGAATATGCTCTGTTCATTTTGTTCAAAGTGATTATGAAAGAGATTTACAAAATTAATTGTTGGGTAAGTCATAAGTACAGTTCATTCATATATATTACTTGTTTTGGCGCGTGAATGTTTAATTTGTTTGTTTTCGTATAAAACTCCAGAATATTTTCTATTTCAGGTTTACCAGATAGAAAGATTCTGAAGAAAACAGCTATCCCTACATTAAACCTTCCGGATAGAATGAACCCAAAGTTTTAGAGAAGCACATGTAGAAGTATCAAGTGAAAATACAGACCAATAAACGTAAAGCTATTTTTTCTTCAAATAAATCTTTAGGAAACTCTACATGCAATCCAGACTTTAACACAATCTCTGAATAAACTTCCCAGGATGCTCTCGAGTATATAGCAGGATATCTTGCCTATAAATATAAAGAAAAATACCCAAACTTGGGTAATTCCACTAGCAAAATTAAAAATCATTACAACTATAGCATTCCGTCATGGGTGCAGCGTTTATCTTATGGAGGTCTTATTAAACCTACTGATGAATAGCTAGTAAAAATTATAGAATGGAATAAATATTTCGAAATATATCACGATGAATCGTATAAAAAAGGCCCCGGAGTAGTACAGAATTAGTCAGTGGAAACAGTTTTACCTTTTACTTTAATAAAAGATTTTTGTAAATTAAGAACTATAATAAGAATTAATTATAGAAATCTTAAACAAGAAAAATATAAAATACTAGCAGGTGGGGCCGGCGTTGCTCGGGCAAAAGTAACGATAACTAAGATAAAGATTATTACGTTACAGTCGACCACAGAATGCAAGAATTGGGTCCCCTTGTTTCCAGACTAATTAGAGAACTTTTAGATGGTTCTAAAAATATGTTCGATTTCCCCGCAAAAACGAAAGAACTGCATCTGCGCCTGTAAATCTTGCACGTCGCTTTCTCTTAACAATTCCATTGTTACTTAAAACTTCCATTGTTACTTAGAACTTCCATTGTTACTTAACACTTCCATTGTTACCTAACACTGCCATTGTTACTTAACACTTCCATTGTTGATGGAAGTGTTAAGCCTTAATCCTGTCTTTCTCCCCCGGGGAAAATTTCGAAAAATCCCTTCTTACCCCCGTATTCACCAACACGAGTTAAACAGAGAGTTGACGAACTCGAGTTTAAATGTAACTCGAAGTCAGATTACGAGTTACTCTTCTTTCGTATTCAGATAAAAATTTAACTCTAGAGTTTCGCTACTCTAGAGTTAATATTTTAAAACAATCCTGCGTTCGAGATTAAACAAGTCTTCTTTCGTAAGCAGAGTTTTAATTGGTTGAAAGCAAACACGTGTATGAACCAGGGAGGAGACGAATAGAATAGAATAGAAACACGTGTAGAAAATGGCGAAAAGTGAAATGGAAAGCAGTGCACGCCGTAATTTTTCTAATTTTGAGAAGGAAATTCTACTTGAATTTGTCGAAAAATATAAATCGATCATTGAAAACAAGAAAACAAATGCGATTTCTTCCAAACAGAACAGATGCACATGGGAAGAACTAACAAAAGAATTCAATGGTATCCCGGGTGTCACCCTTAGAAAAACCAAACAGTTATTGGACTGTTATAAGAATTTAAAAAAGAAAGCCGTGAAAGAACAGGCAAAAAAAAAGCCGAATTATTTAAAACAGGAGGAGGAAACTAATTCGTTCTAACAGGTTTCTTACGCTCTCTTTTGGCAAACGATATCGACATAGAAAGTCGTAATCGTCCAATTGTTCGAGGTCATTTCTTCTTGGAGAAATAATCCGCAGACTTCTTCGTTCCATACGATCTATATAATCTAAATATTTCAGATTTTCTAGCATCTCGGCTTCGTCTTCGTCGAATGTCGCCATTTTTCTCTGAAATAGACCGCTTTGCGTAGGCGTCAAACCTAGAGTTATCGTCTACTCGCCGATTTTCTAGAGTTAGAGTTAGAGTTATTGTGTTTGACTCGAGATTCGGAGTTGGTGAATACCAATTTACCAGTAACTCGAAAGTTAACCCTAACTCTAACTCTAACTCGTGTTAGTGAATACGGGGGTTAGTGTGCGTTCTCGTGACGTACCCTAACTGTGTACCAAATTTCAACTTTCAACTCCTAACCGTTTGGGCTCTGTGCTGATTATTATTATTATCAACTCGTCTCGATTATATATATAGATTGAAAAGAATGCCTTCTGAAAATGGTGATTGTCGAAAAAAAATTAAAAAGTTAAATAAGATAATCACATAATAAAAAATACAGCTCATTAATTTGTTAAATAAATGTTAGACAAAAGACTTGTAAATTTATTTACGTACACTTATTAAATCCGAAAATTCTATAGTAGTTTACAGTTAGTAGTAATTTAGTAATTAATTAAGAAATGATTAAGTATTTTATCGTATTTTGTTATTTGAAAGCATCTGTCATGTTGAAGTAGAGGGCTTGCTGTGACGTCACATAGATCCAAGGTCACGCTAACAAATACAGTTGTCCCTCTATAGTCCGACGTTTTTTAATCCGACATGCTCAGTAGTCCGACGCACCTCCCGTCAAGGTACCCGTCCCCGTTACGTGTCTGCTTGCACAGAAGCATGTCGAGATGTGAATCTCCCCATCCAATTCTTACTCGATGACACACATTTCGTATGTTTTATGTGAGCAGTTCTGTTCGAACAGTTGGAGTAGAGAATATTGTAAGTTACTGCTAGCAAAACAATGCGAAATATGTAATTATTTTCGGTAATCCGGACACTTTTGGTAATCTGACACACCTTTGGTCCCATACCTGTCGGATTATCAAGGGACAACTGTATACGGGATCTGGCTATCCTCTGTAGTTTAAAGTCCTTGCGGCACGCCACTAATATACTCCCATTTGACAACCTAAAAAAATGCAATGAATTACATTTACCTCTTACATTTATTTATCAGTGCAACAAACGAACAAGGGCAGAATACCTTGCCAGAAGTTAAAACTATCACTATTTTTTCTGTAAACATAATTTTTAAAAGCTTTGTACTAGTCCGCCGTCCGATAAACCGCTCCGCGACGAAAACAAGCTTAAACAATGGCATCTTCGAACGATCCACACTCGGTAAGTATTCCTAAAATTTTTTGTTTATAGTATATTTTATATGGATTATTTCCAAAAAATTATACGTGTTTTGGAAATATTCGAGTCAAATTAGTCTAGAATCGATTAATTTTATGAAAGAAAACCTTTCAGCCGTACCCCCTAAACTGTACATGTGCCGGATGCGTTTGGTGTATTTCTTTATTCTGTGACCTCCCATCAAGCTAGGTAGGTAGTTGGCTAGTTGAGTGAAAAATCTATCAGATCTGACGGGAATATCGAAATATTTGAGGAAACACTGGTTGGCGACAATTTTTAATAGGGTAAGTTAGTAGATAGTAAAGCATTTAGTTAAATTTTTAGTCGGTTAAAACAAACACTCTCAACGTTTCTACAAATAGTTGTATCATGATATACATCTGGAAACAAAAGAAAACAAAAGACGTTTCAATAGACAAAGAGTGCCCAGTTTTTGCAATGCGTTCGCATTCTTCTCTTGGTTTTCAGCAGTTTTTCATTAACAAATGATTTTGGTCTTGGGATCACGCTGTATAATATGGGGGCCATGATAAGAACAAAAAGAATCTGCCCTTAAAAAAAGCAAGTTGTCGATTTCTTTTATTGTTGTCCGTCATGTTTGTATCTACGCGCGTATTACGTCTTTCCGAAATATCCAATCAAGTAACGTGTAAGAAAATTTTCTAGCAGCGCTGGTGTCTAGTGTCGAGATTATGCAATTCTTAATATGGTATAACCTTAATTAATCATTAGCTGAAAATTGTTGGCAAAATCCTCGCGTCATTAATCTAATTGTTAGATTTACAAATAACACGATTAAACAATGTTGAAGCGCCATACTTGAACAGGGTGGTTTCTCGACTACATCCAGTAGAGGGTGCTGCTTTATCGATTGACGATGCTATGCGGTGTGGCGCAACATCGGAAAGGTCCACGCGACGCGACGCGTGACTGTATAACATAAAGGCAACGTTTTTAATAAAACAGTAATAATTCAGAAGTATTAGTTAACAATTAATTAATATATAATACATTTTTATTTTATAAAATATATATAAAAGTTCTACCACAAGGTGGCGTTTTGAAAACATTATACAAATATGGCTGTCAGTTGATGATGAGCTAGTGCCTTGCTCCAATTAGAAAACTGTTAATGAGCACGAAACACGGAAATATATTCAAAATTTAGTAGCTACTGACTGAGGCAATTTGGTAAGTTTCTTAAATAACTGAATTAAAGGCTTATTGGAGGTATTGGTACACGTGGTCTTCGTATAGACTAAAGTAAACAAACACCATGTTGATTGTAAACTTGTTAAAGCTTATATTATGTAATTTTCTTCATTATTTCTATTAAAACCTGTGTTACACTGTAAATATAGCCTTCATTTATTTAATTTAATTGATATAAATAATTTTGGATGTGTTATACTCGTACGTGCCAACCTTACATTACACGTGTTAGGAAATGTTGAGAATTAAACATATAATTTGTATGAAGATTGTTGGTAAGATGTGAACTCTGAATGAAGGGTTTGTCACCTCTCAGAGTTAAAGACTCCTGCCTGAGCAAAAAGTAAGGAACCATACCATACATGCAACCCTTCTTGAGATATTTGCCTCCAAAGGTCAGTTTTTACCGTTACCAGTACTACTGCTTATTCTCCATGCTTCACATTGGTCAAAGTTTGGGCCGGCAGTAGTACCGGTAATGGTAAAAACTGACCTTTTGAGGTGAATATCTTGCAAAAGGTCACATGTACGGGTGTGGTTTCTTTTATGTTTTTTTCTCCTGTGGGTAAGATCTACAGCACTGATAAGTTCCCAACCGTCTCTTTCATAGGTGTAATTGTACCAGATTGTCTACCCTTGCTGCACTTTTAACCATTTATTCAATCTTCATCCTCTTCCTCACAATAATAGGTTTATAATATTAGATTTGCCTACCAAACAGATTACTAGTGTTAAAGTAATGGTACAAGGTATCTGAAAAGTTGTGTGTAGTGGGGAAGGTTTAATAAAAGTGAAGTTTTACTTAAGATTGTAGTTTCACTTATATCTACTGTTGGAAATATCTCCTAACATTTGGGCAAGTAAGGTCTGGAGACATAGTGGATCAGATTCAATGGTAGATTGTGACAGGCAAAGTAGTTTAACAAAAACTGTAGTCTAAAAAACAGAACGTCAACAAAGAAGGTGTTATGCCATTTACTGCAGAGTGGAAACACTCATCATACAACTTATAAGTCTCGTATGAAATACTGTATGTATAACTTTAGGATCATTACAAATTTCTCACTGTACAGTAACTTTCTGGACATCTTATATATCATATCAGATGTAATAAATATTATATAGAAAACTAATTATCTAATAGAAAAAATTTACAAAAATTAAAAATTCTATACAGCTTATATATAATGTATGGGATTTTGGNAATATGATAAAAAAATGTCAAAAAAGTTTTGGTCTGTAATATATGCACTTAGTATTGTGGATTGCTTGAAAAATAATCTTTGTGTGGTTAATGCTTATATAGTTATAGATTAATTATGCATATATTTTCTAAAAAAACATTTTTTAAATTTTATATATTAGCTTATAAGTCAAACTAAAAAAAAATGCTAATGTTGGAGATAAGACAATTTCTAAAAAAACATCATACAAGAATTTTTAGTATTGGTCATAAATCTGTGTTTATGAACTAATAATATGCTTCTTATCCCTTTATTATGAATTAGTTATCTTAGCACTATAATTATTATGTTAGGGCCAGTGCTGCCATTTCATTTCATTTGCCTGAAAATTATTACCATTTTTTAGGGCAGCAGAGTCAGTAAAAAAGCACTTGACTCTGACTCCTGATAATTTTAGTAGGCCGACTCTGACTCCTTATAATTTTAGTAGACCAACTCCAACTTCGACTCTGGCAAAATTAAAAACCAAGTTATTTTATGGGGGGCAAAGGTGCTCATAGGGGTACCCTACTCTGAACTCTGAAAGGATCACTGAGCATTTACCCAAATACTTTTATAGTTAATATTTTTAATATTTAACTTACTTTAATATTTATTTGTATAAAATATTAATTTTTAACAAATATTTAATAAGAGGAGAAAGAGGGGTGATAAAATTCAACATCTACATATCTTTATTCTACAAAATGTGCACTTTAATTTCACCTTTCCAGGAAAGTTAGTCCAACTAAAGTGTGCGATCTAGCTACTTCAGCCTCTTGTTCAGAAAAGAAAAATATATACTCTGGTCAATTAGTCTCACTCATTCAGAAAAATAGAGTACTCATTTAGAACAGGGATAATAAAGAATGATTCAAAAATATTTAAATTCAATTAAGTCAAAACAATTTAACTACTAAACACAAACACTACAAAGAAAACTATATATTTAATAAATTAAATTTTTTCTTTTTTGTATTTAAAATAAATGAATTATAACAAAATACAAAAACATTCAAAAAAATTATTAAATATAAAATAAATTTTCTTTCATTTAAATAAAAAACTAAATTAAATTTGAAATGTCGGAATTGGAGTCAACACATTTTTCTCAACTTCACCCACAGCCCTGGTAATTTCAACCTCTCAGGGTAATGTTTAAGGTAGTCTTATATTTAGGGTAAATCTAGGATAAAAATGCCTTGTGATCTGACGCTATTACTTATCGCTCCACAAGTTTTGCCGGAAATAGTTTTTACCTAAAACCGTTCTGTTTTCCCCTATAACTGGAGGGTTTTAAGATAAGACCAGGGTCAGATCTAGGTTTGAGGCCAAGGGCTTATTGAAGTCTAATGGGTTCCCATTTTTTATTAATACAAATAATACTATAAATTATCATTATTATTATTATATTATTAATATTAACTATTTTTTACTATATGATAAGTGCTCATTTTTAATGAAAAAGTATTAAAAATTTATTATAAGAATTCAATTTTTGTGGGCCCTTGACACTTGGGCCCAGGGCTTAAGCCCTATTAGTCCCTATGTAGATCCACCCCTGGATAGGACAACAGAAACTAAAGAAATAAAGTAGCTTGGTGTAATATACAGTGTACACTATGTTACACCTGAGTAGGATTTTGCTTTTCTCAATCTTCATGCCATTAAGCCATTGACACTCTCCATATCAGATGTAAATTAATACCTCTGATAAAGCCTAAAATTCCTAAGACATTTTAGTTATTAAAATTTTTAAAAACAATGAATTAAGAATTGTTCTGATTATTATTTCACAATAATAATACAGGTATCTGTATCATAGAATCGTTTGTCTTATTTTTTTTAAATCCGAGCTTGAGCTTGGAGAGTTTTCTCAATTTATGGTAATCTAGGGTAAAATGAAGGCGCCGTTAGGGTAGTTTCACCAGACAGCAGCACTAGTTAGGACTTCTCACACACTATTAAGAACTCATTCAGAATAACGAACATTAAATACTTACTTGATTGTAACCACAGTATGCATTTTGGGCAGACAAACTGTCCCTCTTCAGCCATTACAATCACTGAATTACAAGTATCCAAAAGATAAAAGACCTTATTTTACAAACCATACAATAACCAAGTAGATGATATTTTTTTTAAAAAGGTAATCTATACATACATAATCCATATTGTAAATTCATATATCCTGTATTAACAATCTTCATGTTAACACGATAAAATATAATTTACATAATTCTGCTGTGGCTAAACATTGTATAAACTATGTGTGAAATTGTAAAAGATTCTCTTTGTAGACTGCATTACATAACAAAGATCCACTACTCAAAAACCTTATAAACTGCAGCCATATTTATTAGCAAATTCAAACATTTTCAGTCATCTTTAATGACCTTTATTAAGAACAAACGAAATCGAATGCTGACTGATTTGTATTAATGATAAAAGTAAAGAATAATTGAACATTTAACATGGCATTTCCCATGATGGAGCTAAAAGGAAAGGAAAGCAATGGAATTGTTTGGCTAGACATGCAGGATAATGCTCACACATCATCATTCATCATCATCCATCTGGTTTATTAATGTAATATTAAAATTACATATTCAGGTACTGCAATAAGCACAGCCTGAATATGCTCACACAATGAGAAACATCATCATATTGAGCAGGAAAACACACGGGTTGCCATTTGTTTTTGCAAAATTATCAGTGAGGTCATGTAGGCACGCTGATGAAAACCGAGACAAATTTTTTGTGTAAAAAATTGACAAAAACCGAAACTGACGATAATTAAAGTAAACAAAATCCGAGGTATTACTGTATTTTGTAAGTCGAATATGATAAAAAAATGTCAAAAAAGTTTTGGTCTGTAATATATGCACTTAGTATTGTGGATTGCTTGAAAAATAATCTTTGTGTGGTTAATGCTTATATAGTTATAGATTAATTATGCATATATTTTCTAAAAAAACATTTTTTAAATTTTATATATTAGCTTATAATGTAATTATGTATTATTATGTAAATTTTAGACTGTAAAAAAATTAAATGTTTTACATTTTGGGTAGCCAAATGGTTAATAGGAAGGTTGTTGATACAGGATATTTGGATTTACAATTATGGATTACATATGTATAGATTACTTTTTTAAAAAAAGTATTATCTAACTCAAAATTATTGTATAATTTGTAAAATAAGCTTACCTTTCAGATACTTGTAATTTAGTGATTGTAATGGCTGAAGAGGGACAGCTTGTCTGTTCAAAATGCATACCATAGTTACAAACAAATAAATATTCAATGCTCATCATTCTAAATGAGTTTTCAATAGTGTGTGATAAGTCCTAACAACAGGTAATTATAGTGCTTGGATAACTAAATTTGTTTATGAAGACAATGCATTAAAGGTATTCTGTTACCTGATAAAGGTGGAGAATTTCTAGCTTGAGCTGATGTTTCTTTTTATTAATACAGATAATATTGAAAAGACAGTGTCCTCAGTGCTAGTTATTTCAGTGTGGTGTAAATTTTTTTTTGATTGCTGGAAACATAAGAAAGGTGTGTTGTGATTTACAATATGAAGACACTGAATTTTTATAAAAAAGCATATTTTCCAATATTCATCAGTCTTAGCTGCAACCAAAGCACCAGTGAATGATTTACTGTAATGTTTGGCCACCTAAAAAGTTGACAGAATCAAGTTGTAAAGACCTTCCTGACAAGTTTTAGCATAAACAAACAGGCTGTACATGACATTGCTAATAGCCAGCAGTTGTATTTAATAGTCAGAAAAGCAGCATTAAAACAAACCAAGATGGATGAGTTTTTTAACAAATTATGAAGTCATAAACTTGGCATTAGTATAGCCTGCCTCATTTACTGCAGAAAGAATAGCATTAAGCTCGGTATCGATAGCAGTTTGATTGGAAGATAACAGAAAGGCCCTTCTGATTAAAGGGGCAATTGCTGCATTGAAGTAATGTTGCGGCTGGTATGCCGTAGCAGGGATTAGGGGAGGAACACTGCTGAATTTATGGAAGATGGAGTGCACTACAGCATCCTGGGATTTAGAAATTTTTAGATCCAAAAATGCAATTTCTCCTTTATTGTCTTTTTCCCAGTTAAAATTGATTGTGGGATAAATGCTTGCAAGAAAACTTTTGAGGGTGAGGAAATCTTTGTGCGTATCCTGCCAAGCTACTAGAATATCATTGATGTATCTAAGATATGATAAAGGATACACTATCGTGAGGGGAAAGCTAAAAATCCTGAACTCAATATGCCTCATGATCAATTCTGCTAAAACCGCTGATAGTGGTGAGACCATCGAGACCCCTTGCTGCTGTAGATATACTTTTCCATTAAACTGAAAATTGATATTTTTGGAGATAAAAAGCAGAGCTTTGCGTAACTCTAAAACTTCTTGTGCTGTAATGCCCTTCTTGATTAGTAGCGTATTAGCAAGCATAACAGCCTCAAATTGTGGTACTGAGGGGTAAAGATCAACTACATCCAACTTGTAGAAACTATACTCATTTTGTGAAATGCTGTTTAGGACAGATATATGGGCCTTTGCCGCAATGGAGAAAGAGGTAACCAGATATGAAGGAGGGAGGAGCCCACTTAATAACTTGGCAAGCACCTTTTCAGGATAGAAGGCTGGGCCAGTCCTTTTATTAACCAACGGTCTCAATGGCCAGCCCTCCTTACGGGTTTTAACCTCAAAGAAGAGCCTAGGGCATGCTACATTGGACGAAGGATTCACACGCCTGGGAAGAGCAGAAATGGTTGGAAGAGATATTATTTTCTTAACTTTTCTTAGCATGGTAGAAGTTGGATCAACTTGCAAGGGTACTGCATGGGAATGGCTGAGGAAGTTGGTGGCTCTGGATATAAAATCCTCCTCCTTACATAAAACAACATTTTTCTCTTAGTCCGAGATCAGTAGCTGTAAGTTGGTCGTTTCCAAGTACTGCTTTACAAGACGGCTGTTCACATAATTTCCGCTGGCACTCGTGGATTGTTTTTGAGAAGTGAGCATTGAAACGATGGAAAGTTCCATGTTTGGGAACTTGGTTGATGCTTGACAATTCTTCAGTGCTGCCAGAACCGGCACCTCGGACATGGTCCTGTTATCCCATGGTGGAGGGATAAACTTAGGTCCCCTTTGTATAATCTTGAGAATTGAGGCTGAAACTTGCTCATCTGTGTAATTGTAGAATGGGATAGGTTGCGGTTGCCTATGGTGCTTTCTTGTAGTTTCAAGGAGCCAATTGAATTTCTTATTTAACTTGAAGATCACCTTTTCAGCAAAGGAAGAAGCAATACTTTGCAGTTTTTCCAGTTGGACATACAGAGAGGCTGGGTTGCAGGTCATTGCAAATTGTAGGTGGGTGAGATATAGGTTGAGCTATACTTCAACCAGAGTCTTATGTTTAAATTTGATAAGCTTTGAAAGAAGCAACTTCTCCATATTCTGCAAGGCAAATCGAAGGCATATAGGGAAGGCTTTCTGGTTGATGGAGATGCACTTTGGGACTATGTCATGCCCCCTGCACTTTATCAAGAAGATCAGCTGGGCGTGCATCTTGTGCCATTGCTTTTTCAGGTTTAACATAGTAAAAAAGGATACCCATTGTCCAGAATTCAGCAGTTGTCCCTTTAATTATGAAGTCAAGTGAATGAGCATATAATTTGTCTGCTTTTGTGCTTACAGTATATACAGTTTGTCAGCTTTGTTGTATACGTATACAGCATAATATATGATCTTATGCCATATGTGTTTCTTTAGAATAAAAATTAGAGATCTCAAGAGACTAAATAATTTTAAGTACAGGTATTTCTTATAATATAGGGGTTAAAAAAGGGAAATTTTTAAAAATAATTAGATTTGGAAGTTGAAGGCATTTTGATACAGTGAATTTCCATTAACTCAACATCTGGTACACCAGCAAACCCAATAAGCTAGCATGTTGAACTTGTCCTTGGTGGGTTATTGGTGCACTGAATAGATCCAGAGTTAAGATTTTCATGTAAAAGCACTGAAAATGTGAAGTTCTTGGAAATGGTATGGGTTCTTTTAGAAACGAGAAATGCCCAGATGATATTATGCTGTGCTAGGTAAAACCTGTTAACTCTTGCATGATTTTTCTAAAGACTTTTCCAAAGACATTAGTACATGGATTTGATGTGAGAAAAAATATTTACCACACTTGGAAGCAATACAGTAGACCCCCCTATAACGCTTAGATACGTTCCACGCTAACCGAAAATTACGTTGTAGGAATGAGCCAATCGCAGCCCGATAGGTGGGAACTTTACGGACTAAGGCTGTTCGAAAGGTTTTCTTCTATAAAATTAACCGATTCTAGACTAATTCCACTCAACATTTCCAAAATACGTATAATTTTTTGGGAATAATCTGTATAAACTATGCTATAAACAAAAAATTGTAGGATTACTTACACCGTTCGACTACGCCGTTGCTTAAAGCTGGTTTTCATCGCGGAACAGCACGCGAAACGACGGCCGCAATTTCTGATAACGAATTTTTGGCGGAAAAATAACTTGACCTTTGGAGACATCATTAATATAAATAATTTTTATGGACGTTGAATAAGAAGTGTTTCTTTCACAAGAAATGTATAAAATTAGTGCTGTATTAGACTTACGGTACCTAATTTACATACTGTGCAGACGATAATAAACTCAACTTACTAGCCTAAAATCTCCGTAGCGTGTTGCCAGGCGGCAGAAAGCATATATATAATTATAATAAAGTTACAATAAATTAAGTTAATATATAATTATATATACAGTACCTAATTTATATATAATTAATATATAATTATATGTACAGTACCTAATTTATATATAATTTATATATAATACTAAACAGACGATAGCAAACTCAATTTAGCCGCTCCGTAGCGTGGCGCAGGGTCGGAGGTAAGTAGTTCGGCTGCTCATCCACTATTGGTCCAGACTCTATCAATCTTGTCACGAAACGACGTTATAGGAGGTACTTTATACGAAAGTTGCTACAATTTTTTCGCTATGTTATAGGAATTGTCGTTATAGGAACGTACGTTATAGGGGGGTCGACTGTAATTATTATGAAAACAGCTGCAGTATATTACTTGGATAATTAGAGTTTGTTTATATTTATGTGCAATAAGTGTTCAAAGCACAAAGCAAGAATAGTGTGTTCTTGTTTTAAGCCATCCAAGGATAGGAATAACCTGGAAAAATTGAAATGGCCGGTTAAACAATTATAAAGGTGGATTTGTACAATTTTACATGTGAGTATATGTAAAACTGTGACCAGGGAATCAGAAAAACGTCCACCATCCAATAAGGAAGTATATTTGATAACTCAACACCATGTTGGCCCCAACTACGCTGGATTAACAGATTTCATTGTACAAAAATTTTAGAAAAATTAAGCGAGATCAGTAGCTGTAAGTTGGTCGTTTCCAAGTCATGTAAAATTATTAAATTATATATTAATTTGGAATTGTATTGCTTATGGTTTACAGATTTTTTAGATATTAAAATAATTAATTTTGAATGATTATAATGCAAAAAGCTGCTGTTTAATTCAGTTTTTCTAATTTTATTTAGCCATGGATAGTGATGAAGAAGGTGATAATGATCGATTGACTTTAACTGGATTCTTATTTGGAAATATTGATGAATCTGGACAGTTAGAAAATGATGTTTTGGATCCTGTGAGTAACTTTTTAAAATAATTTTTGAACAAAATAGTATTTTTAGAGGAATATATATCAAAATTACAAGATTTAACTAACAGATGCTAAGAGTAATATAAATTATTTATAAAATTAATCAAATTTGTTTAAATTAAATGTATATAATATAAACTATTGCCAAATATCTTCAAATTTACAAATGCTTCTTTAGAGGTTAAATCTGTAAATCATTAAATTACACTAACAGTTCTTTGTAAGTTGATTAATCAGCAATGCTGACACTAGTTTCTTGTACATCATATGTTTAGAAAATCTTAGTAAATATTCTTTGGATGAATTTTTATAAAATAAGTAAATATTCAAACAATTTTAAAGTTAAGGATTAGCCAGGAAAGCAAAGATTAACACAAAACTACTTGTTTTTGGTAACTAGAAAATGAGTCATTAATATATGTTTTAGCTGTAGTTTGGGCTACTTCCCCTCGATGTGGGTTCCTGTCCGTGGTGAGGGGACCTCCCAGAGATGGTTTAGTAATTCTTCTTTACCATTCCTGGGATCTGAACATCCACCCACGTGTTTGCCATGCGTGGTATCCCGTATTCCGGAAAGGGGGATCCTGGTAGTTGAGGGGCAACATACTGTCCCCAACACACTGCTTTGTCCCCTGCTTCGGATAAACGGGAGACTCAAATCAGGCTCCGTTTGAGTCAATTGGCTGGTCACTGAGTCATTCTTGACCTTGGCTTGGAGTCAACCGATCGATGCAGACCGGGCGGACACGTCAGACAAGATGTGCTCTTCTTGATTGCATTGTGAGGGTATAGCTCCTGAAAAACCCTGGTGTGACGGTCTATGGGAGTCTCCCATGTGACGGCATCCCCTTGTTGGGCCCCATGGTGGGTGGGGTCACTAGGAGCTGAATTGTTTTGTCTAAATATGGATTCCAAAAATTTAAAACTAAACAGGGATAAGTTACCTCCAGTAACAACCAACGTTTCCAGCACTGCAACCTACTTGATAGTTCATGTGACTGGTGATAAACCACTGTCAAAATGCTCTCCATTTCTTATTCAAAAAATATTTGAATCAACCATTGGGCACTTGAAAAAGATACAAAAATTGAGGTCAGGGACCTGCTGGTAGAAACAGTCTCACCTCAACAAACAGTAAATCTATTGGCAACAAAAACACTTGGAGACATGGAAGTCACTATCATTCCACACGGAAGTCTAAACTCATCACGTGGGGTGATATCCGAGATTGATCTGATGTCTGAAGACGAATCAGATATACAGATCGGTCTTTCAGATCAAGGAGTCATTGCTGTCCGATGCATCTCCATTTGTCGAGATGGCAAGTTGATACCAACTAAACATCTCATTCTTACTTTCGGAAAGCCAACATTACCATCATTTGTTACTGCAGGATATCTGCGCTGTCCGGTTCGTCCGTACATTCCAAATCCGCTGCGTTGCTTTAAATGCCAGCGATTTGGACATTCCCAAACATCATGTCGAGGCAAAAGTTTATGTGCACAGTGTGGAGTTGAAGGCCACCAAAGTACTGAGTGTACAACCACTCTATGCTGTGTCAACTGCAAAGAGGCCCATCCTGCCTACTCCCAAAAATGTCCCAGAAGAGAAAGAGCAAAGAGAGAAAGAGATTCAGCGTGTAAAGACGGTGAATAATATACCTTACCCAGAGGCATGACGCATGGTCACTTTAAATGCACCAGTGAAACAGAAGACATTTGCTGCTGTTCTGAAATCTACAAAGACATGTGGAGTTCAGACAGACATTTCTGTTTCACCAAATGAATCTCTAACTCACCATGAAAAATGTTTGCTTATATCATCTACCCAAACAGCAGAAAAGGAGAGCAAGAAGACCAAAACACCCTTACCTAAAACAGGGGTAATAACTAGAAATGTGGGTTCTAAGAAGGCTGCTAAGAACCCGCTCAACAAACAAAAATTAAAAGCAGCCATCTCCAAATCTAAGAGATCAGAGGCTCAGTCTATGAGTGAGTTCTCTGACTTCTCTGATGAGGAGACTAATAAGGAGGTGACACCACCAACTTCACCTCCAAAAGGCAAATCAGCCGTAAAACTAAAGAGGGATACCTTCACAAAGAATGCTGCCTCAAACACATAATGGATTATAAAATAATCCAATGGAACTGTCGTGGTTTCCGCAACAACTTCTCTGACATTAAACACTTGACATCATCTACCTCATCTCTCTGCGTGGCACTCCAGGAAACCCATCTGAAACCTGGAGAAAGAATTACTTTAAAAGGATTCAATCTCTACCGCAAGGATGATGATAGCCACAACCGTGCCAGTGGCGGTGTGGCTATTCTGGTTTCAAATCGCATTCCATCCTTGCCGATACAAATAACAACAGAGCTGCAAGCGGTGGCAGTCAAAATTTCAATTGGCGTAACTGTCACAGTCTGTTCTATATACTTGCCACCAGATGTCAGAGTCAATGAGGATGAATTGGATACACTAGTTGAACAGCTGCCAACTCCTTTCCTTTTACTCGGTGATTTCAATGGTCACAATCCAATGTGGGGCAGTCCCGACATTAACCGTCGAGGCAGGACCATTGAAAGATTCATTGGCAATCAACAACTGTATTTATTTAATACAGGAGAAGTGACATACTTCCATGCTCCATCAAGAACGTTCACTGCCATTGATCTATCATTAGCAACTCCGAATCTGTTTTCAGCATTTACATGGGAGGTTGGATCTAATCCACTCTCTAGTGACCACTTCCCAATATTTCTAAAATACCAAGGCAGAGAAAGCTGTGAAACAGCCCGTCCACCACGCTGGAAACTGGAAACGGTAGATTGGCCTGCATTTTCCTCTTTGGCTAACATCACTGAGGAAATGGTCAATACTGCTGATATCAATGATGCAGTTGAAGTTGTCACTTTGTGTATTATTCAGGCAGCTGAGAAAACAATGGGAAAGACATCAACAAGATACCCAAAGCATCCGAAACCATGGTGGGACCAGAATTGCGAGGCAGCATCTAAAGCACAAAAGAAAGCATGGGCGATTTTTAGAATATACCCCACTGCTAGAAATTTAGTTGCTTTTTGAAAAGCAAAGGCAAAGCCAAAGGGATTCTTGGAGGAAGTATGTTTCTAGCATAACATTTTCCACTAGCTCAAAAGCAGTCTGGGATAAAATCCATAAAATTAATGGGAAATATGCTTCTCACTCTCTGTTCATGCTGGAAAATAATGGCACAATAATCAGCGACATACAGGTATTGCTGATTTATTAGGAGAAACAATTTCTGCTTCATCCAGCAATATTATGTATTCAAGGAATTTTCAGGTTTATAAAACCCAAAGTGAAAAACAACATTTAAACTCACTCCTCATCTAATGAGGAATATAATGTGCCATTCACTAAAATTGAATTACATACAGCGATCTCTCGCTCTGGGAATAGTGCTGTAGGCCCGGATAAAATCCACTACAGCATGATTAAAAATCTTTCTAACAATTCTCTTTCTAATCTCCTGCATCTGTTTAACAGAATATGGACAGAACATACTTTTCCTGACTCTTAGAGGCTATCTATCATCATTCCCATTCCCAAGCCAGATAAAGACCACAAGAATCCCTCTAATTACAGACCAATCTCTCTGACAAGTTGTCTGTGTAAACTCTTTGAGAGGATGGTAAACAGACGCTTGATGTTCCTCCTAGAGGAAAAGAACTATTTTTCACCACATCAGAGTGGATTCCGTAGGAACAGAAGTACCACTGATAACTTAGTAAACCTTGAAACATCTGTACGCGAAGCGTTTGTTAGACGACAGCACTTAGTGTCCGTATTTTTCAATATAGAGAAGGCCTATGATCGCTGTTGGCGATACGGGATATTCCGTGATCTGTACGAATTCGGATTGCGGGGTAATTTGCCAATTTTTATTAAAAATTTTCTAATGTTCAATGTTGACTCAGGACATTCTTCAATATTTTAATTCTTGAAGTTAGACTATTTACAAAAATATATTAACATTTTCGAGTCTATCATTAAATCCTTTTACACAAACCACAGAAGACACAGTTACATTGGTTAGAAGATAAAACTTCTTTAAAAGACAAATAATAAAAGGTAAAAATTCACAATTAAAAATGATCAAACGCCAGCCTTTTATTGTAGGATCTGATGTTTTTAACATTAAAAACATAAGAATCTTCTCACCAACTATCAAGTCCTTTTCCAAATTTTATAACTGGTTCATCCCTCTAGTGGTAGTTACGAGTCTATCATTTTCATTTGCATAAGTTCACAATGTTCAANCACTACAACTTTAGAACGATTAATTAATTTTGATAAAAAACTCCCATTAAAAAACATTAAAAGGCGATTAAGCCTTAATTGAGCCTTAACAAAGGCTCATTAAAATCGCGATAAAATTTTTTCACGCGGCAAAAAATTCTGAAAAAATTTGGGGACCTAAAAAACATTCCAAAAATTCAAAAAAAATAATTTTTTCAAAAGTGGCCTTAACGACCGATTTTTACGTAACTCTATAAAACTTGCTCGAGTCACACTCAAGCGCGGCTCAGAAGGGGTTAAAGGTATTATGCTGCTCATCCTGGGGAGCAGACAAATGTTCTATGCTCAGGATTTATAGGGCCCTTGTCCGCTCTAAGCTGGACTACGGATGTGTTGTGTATGGCTCTGCAAGGAAATCTACTCTTCGGATGCTGGATCCAATTCATCATCAAGCATTACGTCTGTGCACTGGTGCTTTTTGCACCTCTCCTGTCCAAAGTCTGTACGTGGATGCTTATGAGCCTCCACTATCTCTTAGGAGAGAACAGTTCTCTCTTTTTTATTATATAAAACAGAAATCTCATACTAAACCTTCAGTTGAATTTACAGTATTAGATACTCAGCTGAAAAGTCTATTTGAAGCTCGCCGAAGTAGTGTCCCTACATTCAACATAAGAATGGAGAATGTAAGCAGCACGATTGACATTAACACAAGCAACATCTCACATGTTGAGGTTAATAGCATTCCACCTTGGTCAACCCCTGCGATAGATGTTGATTTAAGCTTAAAGCAGTTTCCAAAAGAAACCACCCCAGACTATGTCTATAGACAGCACTTTGCAGAAATTCAACATCGTGACAGGAATTTAATTCCTATATACACCGATGGATCTAAATCGGATAACTACGTTTGCCTAGCCTTTGTTTGCCAGGATAAAATTGTGGCAGAGCAAATAGCACCAAATTCTTCCATCTTTTCTGCGGAGTTGCAGGCTATTTATTTAGCCTTAAAGTATATAAATCGGAAAGGTCATCGTTGCTGCGTGATTTACACTGACTCAGTTAGTGCACTTCAGGCTTTGATCTCGTATGAACGTAGTTCTCACTCCATAGTTATTAAAATTCGAAAACTAATTTGTCATCTCACTACGAGAAATTTTTTTGTGAAGTTCTGTTGGGTCCCAGGCCACGTGGGTATAAGAGGTAATGAAGAAGCTGATACAGCTGCTAAGTCAGCAAGTCCTTCACAGCATACAATGCGTATTGAAGGAGGTGATTTGAAGCTAGTCGTTAAAAAACGACTAGCAGAGAGATGGCAAAACGTGTGGAATGCACAAATCCACAATAAACTTCACGAGATCAAACCTTTGGTAGAAAATTGGACACATAATAGGCAATATGATAGGAGATCTGAGGTTATCCTTACTCGTTTGAGAATTGGACACACTCGACTGACTCATCAATACCTTTTGAAGGGAGATGACGAACCAGTATGTCAGCACTGCAACTGTGCTGTAAGTGTTAAACACATATTTTGCAACTGTGTTGCTTTTGATCAGATTCGTAGACAGCATTTCGGAAATGCAAGCTTTAGAGACATTTTGGGCCAGAGGCCAAATCTGGATAATATACTGGACTTTCTGAAAGTCATTAATATGTATAGAGAAATATGATGATTTATTTATTGTATAGTTTTATTAACTTTGTGGTGCATATTTAAATTATTGTATATATTTTTTGTTGTTTATTTATTTATTTCTTCTTGTTGTTTATTTATTTATTTATTATATTTTAGATTTTATATTTATATTACCATTGGCTTTTTAATGCTTAAACTGTTATGTATCATTTATGTGTATATATGTGTTTTCCTATTTATCTTATACGCCCAATCATACCATGTGTCGTGGCACAGTATAGCCTGCATGGCTTTTGTGCCAATAAAAATTAACCAACCAACCAACCAGTTTGGGCTAATTTTAGCTAATACAAAAATTAAATGTGGAACAGAGTAAAATAAGAAAATTCTCTATGGAACAATTTTAAATAATAATTTATTTTTTTTGTTTGAAATAATCAGTTTTAAGTTCATTTTAATTCATAAATGTAGTGCTAAGTTCTGTGCATTTCAATTATAAAAATTATGAGTATTTTCTTTCTCTTCCTCATGAATCATTTGACAAAACTAGTAAAGATTCAATATTTCCAAAGTTTATTATATAGTAATAGATGTCTTCATACCGAGAAATAATTTTACTATTCATCTTTATTCTATATGCTTTAGGTTGTATCACATATTGATTTTTGAGTTTCTTTTCCTGATAGACTTTCTCTTTTCTAACATACAATTTCTTAAGGAATGAATGTTAGATCAATATACTGAATTAGCATTCATTTTTCAGACATTATGGGAGTGATTCAGTTTCCATTTATCTGATTCCTTATCACTCGGTGATATTTTAAAAACTAAATACCGTTTCTCTTCCTAGTGTTTTATTATATTTCCTGTTAAGCAAATAACACAGCAGATTCTTATTGGACTACAATAGGACTAATTAATTAATGAGCTATCAAGCAATTTAGACTAGAGATAAAAGGTTAAGCTGCTATCTTAACTTAGAATAAGATAAGATGGCAGATTAGAATAAGATCTAATTATTAAGAGGGCTTAATAATTAGAAATAAATAAATTTAATTTAAACAAAACATCTGAGATACAAAAATATTGTGCCAAGTAAAAAATTATGACAAATTTAAATGACAGTCAAATGTTTTCTTTGGTAAAGATAAGCTTGAGACTTCAATGCAAAATGTGAAAAACATTAATACAGTACATATAAAAATCTTCTGGTTACTGCTTGTTTTATTTTTGTTTTTTGGTTAATGATTGTGCTGTTACATCAAGACCCAAGATGATGATGTACGGTTTGGTTGGCAGTTGGCAATATGATGGCCACCAACCAAATGCTTTTGATATGCCAATAGTAAAATCATTATAAAAAGGTTTAATTTGCATAAATTTAAGATTTTGTTCTCCTGGATAACATTTTGAATGAAAATCATTTGTTTCAATGCAATTTTATCTTCACAAGCATAAAATTAAGCATTTAAAATAGCTCTATAGAAAAAACTTTGACTATTGACCTAGAAGTTTTGCCATCACTTCACTAATAATGAGAAAGTCTTAAGTTTAAAATTTGAGCTTGCTGGATCCAGTAGTTTTTTTCTCTAGGAGCATCTGCAGTTCCAGATGAAGAAAAGATGATAATATTCTTTGGAAATTTTTACACTTTTTGATTGCTTATATTTTGGCATCCCTTTTATAGAAGAACCTAAAATTTTGTACAGTACCTAAGAAACAAAATATCTTTTCACTGAGATATTCAGAATTACTATAGATGTTTAGGGTGGCAAAATCAATCCTTGAAAATTGTCAACTCTGTACATAGTAACATACAGCAGTCCAGTTATATAGTAATATAGTAATATATAATTGTCAACTCTGATTTCTGTATGTCTAGTGAAAAAGTCAGTGACTTTTTCACTAGGCATACAGAAATAACTAAACAAGCAAACATACTCCAAGTGAAATTCACTTGGAGTATGTTTGTTTGTTTAGTTATGGCAATGTAATACTTGGGTGATCTATGTAGGGGGATGCCTTTTGGCAGATCTTTTTAAGGAAAACTGGCCTTTATTTATGTGTTACAGACATGGAGAAAACCCGGAAAACTCCATGTGGCCAGCCCATTCAAGCGAGGCATGAACCCACGACTGAACTTCTAGTGTTCAGGAAACGAAGCCCGCTTGGCCACTGGTGGGCCCACTTGGAGTCACTACCACAACTCTTGATTTAGAATATACTGGAAGAAAAGATTAGAGCAAGACTTGAACCTGCTTCCAGTTACCAGTTTTGATACTCAGACCTCTGTCAAATCTTCACTTTCAGACCAATTAATTTATGTATAACTATGCTGGTCATTTACCATGTCAACTGGGGATAGCTATGTGCTTAAATTCTACCATGGCAATTTAACATGAAAGGGACTAGAGATAGACAATTAAGCCATCTATTTCTTGTCCATATTGCTCGATATCATATAAATTAATTAGCCATATTGTAGCCCAATAAGAGTCCAGCTATTTTACTTGATTAATAATGTTTATTGGGTTTGGTTTTATATATATATATATGTGTGTGTGTGTGTGTGTTAACAAACAAGAAGTAATCCTACTTTTTTGTTAACACAATTTCTCTCTTGCAGTGCTTGTGAGGCTTTTGAATACATCAAATAATTGATTTATTGTTTATAAATTTATCAAAAATCTTAATGTATTCTTTTCTAATGTTTTTAAAAAAATTTTTTTAGGAATCAAAAAGAAATTTACATCAATTAAGACAATTAGGTGGTATAGGTACTCTTTTAAAAGAAATTTCTGAAGATATTGAAAATGAATCGGATCATGGTAGAGATCACTTAGAAGATAATGATTCGCAGAATTCTCAAAATGAAGGTAAGTGAATGTTTTATAAATTAATTAAATTTTATATGGATTCTGGTAATCATGGTAGTATTATTTTTGAAACAGAATGGGGAGAAAAATCTCCATCAGCAGTCGATTATTCAGATATCACTGAGCTAGCCGAAGAAACGGAAGATCAAAATATATATAAGCAGATGACTTTATTAAGGGCTCCTGAATCAGGTTTGTTTGAAAACATAGCGCTATTGTTATTAATACAAACAATATATGTTCTTTATATAAGAATTATAATGATACTGATGAAATAATTTTGAAAGCTTATTTTTTGTGAAGAAATTTAAATATGAAGCTTCAACTATTCAAAAAATTAACCATAATTATAGATATACTGAGTTAGATATAACCATACTGATCACATTTAATGATAAAATTATTAAATTTAAAAGCTTTATTGCAGCAAAATTGCTTTATCTAATCATTAAATTAACCTTATTACAGCTCAATGAATAATCTGGTAGTTTCTTTAGCATTAATAATTGAATCAGGTTGATGTATGTTGTTATTCTATATTATGTCAGAGAGTTTGGTGCTCATTTTCTTTGACAAAGGAAGTGTTGAAGAAGCCTAATTGGCAGTGTATGCAAGAATATTAAAAACATAAAATATCAGTAAAATAAGCTATTATACAAGAGGTATTTAGCTGTCCCTATAATACCAGAAATATTGGATATCAGTTTAAAGAATTGGCTGATATTATGCAACTGGTAATCAGATATCTGATTATTGGTTGTAGAACATTGGGCAATTCCAATATCAATCCAATGATCAGTCAACCACTAGAATATTTAATTATTTAATTTATCGATAAATTGATGCTATACATTCTGACAGTCAAAATTCTCAAATAATGTTTTTTTAATATAACATTTTCAATTATTTTATTTTTAACATTTTGTTTTGATTTAAAAATTACATTTTATTTATATAATTCTTGTATAGATGGAGATGACTATGATGCCGACTATGAAGATAACAAAAACTCAAAAGATTTCAGACCCACTGATGCCGAATTAATGCCTCCTCCGCCTGCTCCTTTTCGAAGAAATCAACATCAGTCAAATTCCAGTGGCACTCAGTCATTTCTGTCTTCGTCTCTTTCTTCTTCTGTATCTTTGACTCCATCAACAATTCAGGCCACTTCCTCGAATGAAAATAATATTGATTCTTTATCTTCTGAATCTTCATGTTTGAATCCAGAGAAAAGAGTAAAGAAACTCGACACTCCATTGGCGGCAATGTTACCTTCTAAATATGCTGATCTCGATGTAACTGAATTGTTTCCAGAATTTAGACACAGCCAAGTGAGTAAATTTTATCAGGCAGATTTGATCCATAATAATAATAATAATTGAAATTACAAACAAAACTTTGGCACTAATGTATCAAATTTAGTATTTATATTTATTAAATAAATAAAACTTTCCATTTTTGTACATCAAATAATTTTTTTTTAAATTAGGTTTTACGATTCTCTCGTCTGTTTGGGCCAGGGAAACCTTCCAGTTTGCCTCAGATTTGGAGAGGCGTAAAAAAACGCAAGAAGAAAAAACAAACTGATAGTGAACAAGCACCCGAACAAAAACAAAGCAAAGGTTGGGCTTTGGATTTACCTGAACCGACACCCGAGATGTGTGAAGTTAGTGACGAGGTTTGTTTCTGTTTGCGTCTTATAATCACTTATAAGTAAAGGAACAAATTTTGTTATTAATAAATAATGTTTAAACATTTTTCTAAAAGTGTATAAAATAATATTATTTGAAAGTTATCGTTAAAAAGAGAATAATAATTAATTAGTTTGCTATTGTAAAAAATTTAATTTTCATTTGCTAAAATTTATTTTAATGTATATGTTTCACCTTAGAAAATATATACGAGATATATATAGGCTATATATAAAATTGCTTGTCCTGACTGANTAAACATTTTTCTAAAAGTGTATAAAATAATATTATTTGAAAGTTAATTTTATTGCATTATATAATAATTTATATCTTGTAATTAATATATATTATTGCACATTTAAAGTTATAATGATAAACACACCTTGCTTATCAGCAGACCATTGTATAAATGCTCTGCATTTTTGAGAACCTGCTTCAGGTTGTTTTTTTGTATGAACGTCTTTAAAGTTTTACATTTTCTGAGGAGATTCTATTTTGAAAAATTCTTATATGTAACACTGTTTTTAAACAGGAGAATATAGTACATGCCCAGATTTATATCCAAAAACTTAAAGGAGAAACTTAAAGTGTTATATAACTATATAAGAATTTTCAAAGCATTTCAAAATAGAATATCTTCAACTGTTCACTGAAGTTTATATAAGAAAACAACCTGAAGCAGATATCCCAAAAGTGCCAAAACATTTGTAATTCATACAATAGTCTGCTGGAAAAGTAAGCAAGGTGTGTTTATGATTATAGTTAAATTTTTTCCAGTTTGAATAATTCAGTTATGCTTTAAAGTTTTGATATTAAATACCATATTGTCCTTATTAGAAGCCTATTCCTACCTTCCTATATTTCTTTGATTAAAACTGTCATAATACATCTCTGCTGTTATGGTATCTTATTTTTGTTATTGATACATCAGTATTTCAATCTGCAGTAAATAACAGATCTAATAAAATTCAAGGCTTCTTGTTTTTTTAAATATTGGTAAAAGTACTGATAATAGAAAGTTTTGAAAAACTATAGTTTTTTGCAGTTTTATCGTAAATAAGGGTTTTAATATCAGAAAAATTAAAGACTCGTTGCTGAAAATTAGGCTGCAGAAAATGGTTGTTTTCAAAGATAATGCAAGAAATTAATGAGGATAGTATTTCCCATTATTAGCTATGATCCAGGACCAATGTTTAACCCTCTGAATGCCCAACTCAAATAAAGAAGGCTGCTTGTAAATGATGAAATCATTCACCTCCTTTTTTGCAGTTTCTGCTCTAGGCAGCATGTGACCATCAAAGATGACTTTGTAAACACTGAAAGAAGTAAAAATCTGATGGGGTAAGGTTTGACAGGTGGATGATCAACAATTTCTCAGTCCAGTTTGATTCGATTGCCTTAAACTATCAATCATATTACAGAATTATTCTAAACAAGATTATGAATTTGGAACAAACTGATTTAAAAAGTTGTAATGACATCTGATTGGTTAAAATTAAAAATTGACTTCAAATAACAATGCCATGCTTTGAGAAGTGTATTGTTATCCTAAAAATTGATGTATTCTCCCTATATGCCTTGTAAATTTCTAATTTCTCCAGCTGTCTGAGTTGCTATTTCTTAGTAAGTTCATTTGAGTTCAACATACAGTATCTCATTACCTTGTTCTTACTGTTGGAGATGTGCATATATGCCAATTTGACCATGGACCTGAAAGCTGCCAGTTCATATGAGTATAGGTCTCTTGATATAGCTGGAATAAACAACATTATATATGGGTTTCCTGTAAATTGATGTTGAAATAGTGCCATCAATTATGAAGAAATTGCTGTTTAGGAAATGTGCAGACAAGGTACTTTCCTGTTCAATACACAGGTGCCGGCTGAATGGGTTTGAATTAATGGCATTCAAGAAATCCCTGAGCTATGGTCTATTATATTATTTAATAAGAACATATCTGATGTAGAGGGCTATTTGTTATTTGAATAACAGGAAAATTGTATCCTCGAGTTGACATATTACTAGTTCACACAGTGTTTAGAAATGGGGCTTCTCATTGTTGCCTCTTCTGCCCTGGTGGTAAACAACCCCTTCAAATAGAAAAACAAACTGTGGCATACAAGGTCAATACTAAGATAGTGGTATGGTACTTGCCAGGATTACTTAAATTTTTAAACACAAAATTGCAAAACTCATAGAAGCTTCTGTGAATCTACTTCTTTTTGCAATTTACAAATCAATCAAAGGAGATATAGTTTTAGTACTAATACAGCAGTGATGTGCATTTAGAAATTCCAAAACATATGTTCCATTCAGTCAGAATATGTTGCACCCACTTTTCACTTGTATATTTGATGCCAAGTGATTTCAGTGCCATGCAAACAAGTCAAGTTTAGAAGTTATCTCTTTGATTGCTTCAGGCATCCTTGGAAATCTGCTTCCTCACCAGATCATCAATTTCTTGTAATCATTCAGAGCCACCATACTCAACCTGCGCCCCGTGGGCCACATGTGACCCGCTGAGCTTTTGTGAGTGGCCCGTGGATGTGACTTGTAAATAATGCAGTCAAAATATGAATTTTAAAATTTTTGTGGCAAAAAATAGATTTGGTCACTCCGCCCATACTGCTAAGTCCTTTTTGTCCTTAGAAAGTTGTCGCCAGATGTCCAAGCATTGTGAACACGTGGTGGCCATCAGGGGTGATCTGCAAGGGACAGTAAGAGTAGAGCTAGACTTAGTAATTTACTGAGACCCATAGCACATACATGTGATACCTGTTCCATGTTGACCTCATTTATCGACCGTGAATATATTCATTTCTGCATCAGAACATTTTTGATACTAGATATTGCTGTGTGTCATAATTTTTATATTAAATGAACTTTAGAAATAATTTTTTGTTTTTATATTTATTAATATATCTATTTTGTTTGTGAAAAATAAAAAAATTATTTTGGATGATAAAATAGTCATGATTATTTTTATAACAAAAACCTGTAATTTTCATTAGGTTTAACATCGACAAAAATTGCAATTTTAGAATGAAAGATTCAATAAATAGAGTTCTAATAAAGATAGAGCGTAGAAACTTTTTATTCCAAAGCTAAAAGACTTCTCTAAGTAATATATAAATGTGTATTCGATAATTTTTACTTTTCTGGCTATTATATATAACAGAGGAAAAGTGTAGCGCTCGGTCAAAAAATGACCCCTCCCAAATTTTTACATTTTTGGACTCAGGACACTAAAATTTCGAGATATGCAAAAGATTTGAGGTTTTTTCTATATATGTGGATGTTAGACTGTGTGGGGGGCAGTGGCATAGCGTGGGTGTCAGCCGCCCAGGGTGAAGGAAAATTTCGCCGCCCCTTATTTAGGTATCTCAATTTAAAAGACTAAAATTCAGTTTTGTCACAGAATAAGTAATGAAAAATTCAGTGCTAGTGTTGCCGCCTTTTTAAAATCGCTATCCCAGATGGCAGGTGAGGTTTGTTCGAACAGAAGTTCCTGACACATGCGCAATGTCATTTTGCAATGCTAAGAATAATGTGCAGTGCATGTCGATTCTAAATCAGTTACAGTTAGCGATTAGGGAGACTTGGATAGGAGTAATGCAAGTGGCCTAGCTCTATTGGATTTTGGAGGTGTATGTGATTACGAATGAATCGTACAAGCAAAAAAATAAAGGAAAAAAAAAAAGGTTGACATGTTGTGCACGATATCCCCTGACAGCGAGTCGGATGGTAACACTATTCCGTGCTCATTTCAATCGGTTCGAATCATAGGTGGATGAAAATATGAAATAAAATGGTTCAAATTCTTACTAGATATTATTATTATTTATTGTGAAATTTTTTTGCTCCATAAAATGTAAATTTGCTGTCCCCTAAAAAGTGCCGACCGGGGCGGGCCGTCCCTGCCGCTTCCCCTTCGCTACGCTACTGGTGGGGGGGCATGATTTTGTTTATTCTGTTTGAAGCCTAATAATTTCTGTGATCAGAGTGGTCAGAATCGGAGTCAGATGGTTTAACACAGGAGTTAGTTATTAAGTGTTAAAATGGTTGAACTAAATCGTGTCCCCATATACATTCTAACATCTTAGGTGAGAACATCTTAATGGGTTTTACTGTACTATTATAAAATGGCTAAAAAACTTACTTTGAGGGTAGAGATGAGTTTTATTTTATTTTTTTTTTAAATTTTGAATGCTAATAATGAATAAAATATTCATTAACAGATATGACACATGACCACTTTTATGTCTTCACCCTGTCAACCTTTCATTAAGAACCAAAATTTAATAGTATTAATGCCCCTTTATACGCAAGCTACAGTGCCACATTTTCTTTCTTAAACTTTACCCATTCTGAGACATTGTTTAATATCTCAGAACAGAAAATAAATAAATTAGATGCCAACACACACACGCGTGAGAATTTTTTCCCTTTACTGACTTTTTTGAGAGTTCAGGAGGTCTCCAAACGTGTAGATTTGCAAAAAAACTTGGAGGGTCAAATTTGACACGATTTCAATACTTTTCCATTTTATATACATAACAAGTTGGTAAGTAAAAAGGAGTTGGAGTCAGCGGATTTTTTGACGACTCCGACTCCAGCTAAAACACCAAAACTCCACGACTCCGACTTTGACTTTGACTCCACAGCCCTGATATCAGCATAATCCGGTGATTTTTAAAATAATGTGGAATGATAAAAAAAAATCACTTGATCAGAACTCAGCCGCTGCGATTTACTCCATCCCAGTCGAAGACCATCATTTCAATTCAAGATTACATTTCATAAACTACATAGGAGCCACACTTCATAATTTACAGCAGAGGGTCAAAGAACATAAATACGTGGCTAGAAAAAACCTTGGTAACACTGCACTGGCAGCTTATTTACAGAATAATGACATATAGGTTCAATGGAACCAAGCCAAAGTTATTAGGTCCACTTTTAACTTAAACATCATATTTCTAGAATAATTAGAAATATATAAAGCACAGAAAAGGTTGCACTGCATCAATTACTGAGATGCACAAAACCTGTCAAATGCCAGTCAGGCAATTTAAGAAATGTAATTTATGAGCATCTTATTAAGAATTACATCTTACGAATTTAAATTGTTTGATATTTATTAATTTAATTCATTTTACAAGGTTTAATTTTCTGTGTTTATTAATTATTACATTTTAATTATTAAGTATTAAAATTTACATATTTGTGACTTTGTTATTTTGAATTTGTAATTACACGTTCTAAAGAATTCAAAAAGCTTGTTACTGAAGATAAGTAACTGTTTGAAAACATTTTTATTTCAGTAAATTTGTAGCTGGATTTATCAAGGTTTTATATTAATTGGTTTATTCTAGTTCAGCAGAGTAAAAAACACCATTTAAATAATATTAGAGATATATGGAAGCCCTGGAAATTTTTAAAGTTACATTAAAGGGTAACTATATAAATTACAAGTGAGATAAATCCATTTTAAGAGCACTGCAAGCCTGTTATGATCTGTCATTGCGATCCAATATGTATCCAATGAAACTTGATAATAACCCACCTTCAATTGCCATATGTCATTGGGCTATAATTTGGTAATAATAATTATAAATTACTAATGAATTTATCCTAGAGGGAGGCTTTAGGTGCCATCTTGTATTAAATTTAATTAAATCATTTTACATTAACCTGGAAGAAAAGAATCGGCCTGGAGCGGACTCAAACCTGCAACTGCTGCTTACCGTGCAGATGCGTTGCCAGTTACACTACCCAGACCTCCAGTGCAATCTTCTCTTTCGGTATATTTAACACGATATAAGCATAGTCAGTTACTATGTTGCGGACAGGACAGAGTTGCATTCAGCACCCTTGTCCTGTAAATCATTATTGCAATGTATCGGGTGTAGTTAAGATGTTTATATTTATATAAATTTGCTAATTTCGACAATATAAAAACATTAGATCACAGAATTCCATCATTTCAGGTTTTTAAACTTTATGTTTTATAATGTGTTAGCATTTCATTTTAGAACTTATTGGTTCCTGAAGAAGTGTAGACTGAAAATGTTTGAATAGCATTTTTTTACTCTGCTGGTTATAAGGTTGTTAATTAAACAAAAAAATAATTTTTTAAATAAATAATGTTCTGTTCTGTTTTCCTTTTCTTTTATTTTTTTGAAAATACTATTGTTTTATAAAATATAAAATATTTTAATGTATAAAATTTCAAATAATTTATTAGCATTTGTTAATTTTGTCTGTCTTGGTGGCCTTCTGTGGCATTTTAAGACGAAAGTTCAAATTTAAAATTAAGCTTTTTACAAATACATGTTATTAAATTCAATAATTTGATGGTCAGTTGATACTTTAACTAGGCCCTACAAAAGGGGGTGCAGCCAAGGCCCATCAATGGAGAGAAAAATTAAAAATTGTCTGTTTTCTGATTATTTTTTCAAATAATGAAATAACTTTGGCCATAGGTAAACATTATATCAGATTATTTTTATAGTTTAATATCATTGTTGTTTGTATAAGCAGAGTCCTCAAAAAGGAGGCCCAAAATGGTCTTTGTACCAACAGTTTCCCATTCTCTCAGGACCTTGACCTCAGCCTGTCATTCTGAAGTCCTGGGATTGAATCTGAATAGTTGAAAAACTCTATTAATCTTTTGGAGATATGTTGGGTCCTGTCTCTCACTATCCAACCACTCCCATTGTTGGCCTGGCCAAACTCATGATAAGTATTATCCTCTTAATTCCCACAGAATGACAAGTCAAAAATGAAAAAATCTGATATTATTATTATGATTTTTTTACTGAATTATATTATGCGAATATTAAGTATGTTCAATGTTTTAAAGTATTTCTGTCAAGTGTATAGTATAAAGTGAAATATTTTATATTATATAAGAATTTATAGAAGAAATTTCTATTTTAATATTAAATTTAATTCTATATCTTCAATATTTTTATAGGTAAAATTATTACAACCCGAAGAGCAAAAAGATTCGCATAGTAAAAGCGAATCTTCAAATACTACCGATTTGTCACCAAAAGTTGCCGACTGGCGATATGGTCCGGCTCAGCTGTGGTATGACATGCTAAACTTGCCCGAAACCGGAGAAGGTTTCGGCTATGGTTTCAAATTAAAAGAGGTAATGAATTTATAAATTAAAAACTTAACTCAATTAGAGAGAAAAGAAATTCCTAAATTGATGAAAATTGCATCAGTCCTATAGATTTTTAGTTATAAAGGTTTGTTGTGAGTCGGTACAATATGTGAACATATTGTTTAAAATTTGCTAAATATTTATAATTAATTAAAATCTTGATAAAGACTAGTTTTATAATTGTATAAGGTATTATTTACCATTATACAGTTTCCATAAAACATAAGATTGCTCATCAAGTATAAAGTTAGAAGATTAATGATAACATGTCATCAAAAACTTGTATTAAAAAAATATTATATGAAATCTATACACAATTTTGAATGTTAAACATTTACTTATTACTGCTTTGAAGCTTATTGTCAAGCATAGAATTACAAAAATACTTTATAAACTTTGTAAAGTTTATATTTTGTATAGTTTGTAGACTTTTATAAACTAAAAGTTTTGTAATTCTTCTTTGATGAGAAGCCAAAAAGTTTGAAAGTGTCTGATAAACTTAAAATAAACATTATTAGGATCTTCAATAAAGCAGGAAACAGTAGAATTTGGGAGTTAGAAAAGAAAGTTTTAATTAGATATTTTGTTATTGAATGATTCAATATTAGATAAAGATATTCTGTATCTTAGCAAAGTATAGTAATTTAATGTTGGGTTGATAGGATGTGCTTAAATGTGAAAAATCACTACTTTTTGTTATTTTAAAGGGAATTAATAATACAAAAGATTAAATAATGTTTGGTAAGTGTTTAGAAGATATAATAGTAGGCCCTCTTAGTGCCCAAAGGACATAGAGTTAAAAATAATTTCCAAACATTTCTTCTCTTTTTCATAGCAGTGTTTTTTGTATTGAATTGTGAAAAATCTTAGAATAAATGAGAAATACAATAAAATTATATTAATAAATGTTAAATTTGTTCTAGACACTGAATTACAAATTACTAAATCCAACCACTGCCATGTGTCATTGGGCTATATAACAGCTATAATACTATAGCCATTATGTAAACAAATGGCATACGGCAGTGGTTGGCTTTAGTAATATATGTATTGGATTTTTGTAGACTTGTTTGAATTACAAATTACTGCAACTTGTAATTCAGTTGTGCATAATTAAAATTGTACTATACAAAAATCATGTTAAACTATACACTGTTACATTATAAATTCATTAATTTTATTATATTTTGCTATTATTTACAATATGGGTTCCAAACCAAGTCACTAGCAATTCCTTAGAGTTCAATCAATATATCTACTATAAATTACTAGAGATCAGTAAATATATTAGCTTACTGAAATTCAAAGATATATCAATTAATGTAAAACATACAATTTTGGCTTTTGATTTATACTTGATTTTTATTTAATTTTTAGTGTCATCCTATTTATAATTTTTTATTTTGTATCAATATAGAATGATATTGACGAATTCAATCTGGAAACAGGTCAACAAGCAGGAAAGGTTGGAAAAACCTGATTTACATAATCTTTTTGATTAAAATATATAATTTAATTTTCATTTAACTAATAATTAGAAAATTTTCAGTCTGATGGTGATGAAAGTCAAACCGAAAATCCCGAAGAAGACTATCCCGATGACTGTTATCATATGGTAACGCAATTACCATGGGAAGACGATGTAGTTTGGAATGGGGAAGAGATTAAGCAAAAAGTAATTTATATAAATTATAGAAAATATTATTTTATTCTTAATAATAAATTGTAATTATTAATGTGTATTTATTCAATTAAACTATACAAAACTAATCAAATTGAATTACTATATCATTAAAACTGAAATTAACATTTGAAGAACAATCTTAAACTATAAAAAACATATTATCTGCAAAATACAGAAAAATGAATAATTAATACTTTAAACTAATTATTATTATAGTTTAAAATATTACTAAAACAGAATTAGTTTAATAATAAAATCAAGATGAAGATTTAGTTGAAAGCACAGTCAATGTCTTGGTTCATGAACTTAATTCATTCCTTAAAGTTGATTGGAAATCGATTTCTTCTTAAACCGAAACAAATTTCCCCATAAGAAACAATGTAAAATGGATTAATTTGCTCGCGACTCCCAAAACAATCCTTCTTTTATCTTTTTAGCTGTATTTAATCAATACAAATGCAATGTAATATTATATTATAACATACCAACTGAATAATAAATAAAGTTTATAAATAAGAAAGACAATTTCATTTATCCTTATCCATGCTGAAAAGTCTTGATGGCACAAGTGGAGGTGGAAAGGAAGAGAAGCTATTTTTTGGAATGGGAGGTTCTCTCTATAATAACATCAGATAACTGCCCTGCTTCTTTTATCTTTTGTATTTTCTGTTTCTCACTAGTAGATTCTGCCTGGGACTCGTTAGCCTTCTTTTTTCACTAAAAATTTATCTAGCAAAATTTGTTTTGTCTGTGTTTCACAATGTTACAGAAGTGAGACATAGCAAAAGGTTAATGAATGACACAGCTTGCTACTGCCTTATCAGGGTGATACCTTTCAACAAAACTTTGCACTTCACCCCATTTTGCACACATGGCATTAATAATGTAAAGTACTATATTATTTTTCCGACTTTTCCAACGATTATCGATACTACTGTGCGCCGGAAATAGCCGTTCCCTAACGGGTACTTTACGCGGATTCGCGTTAGTGTGCCAGGCCTGGACTTTAAGCGTGCACCGAATTAAATAATTTTGTCAATAACAAAATCAAATATTTAATTAAACTTCTAGTAATAAACTATATACAGTATGTATATAGTATTGTATTCAATGAAATTCAACAAGAATCAAACCGACAAACTCAAATCAATCTATTTCTAACTTAATTCTATTTCCCTTTGGAATTCGACAAAATCAAAGAATTAACTTATAAACAATAATTCTTATAATTTAAAGATCCTAATCGTCACCTCAATATACTAGGAACCTATTTCCTCAAACTCTCAAGCCTTTCTATAATCGTCGATCCACAAATCGAATAACTTCAAAATCGCCTTGGAACTATTTGATCCAATCGGACACCTCTCTTGATCACTGCTACGAAGCTCACCAAAGCTCGTTGCTATCAGGAATTCACCTCGTTCATTTTCACTTGAGTTAGAGGCTTTATAGTGTGAGGTGACGTCACAATTCTGAATGAGATCACTCTCCTCATTTACATACTTATCTGTAACATTAAATTTTTCTCGTTTATCTGGCAGCTTATTTTCCGACAATACTTCGCTAACCTTTTACATTATTCTTTTTTAACAATTATCGGGATGCTTTATTCTTTTAAGATTTAGCGATTCCTAACTGGGTTGTGGGGTCTTCCCCCCCCTTTTCGTCGGTGCGGACTTACTTTTTTCTGCTCGGGAAGCGCAAGTGTGCGCGAGTTTTTCTACGGCGCTTTTCTTTCGTCGGTGAGTTGGTTTCTCTTCTATTTTTAAGTTACTAAGGTGAATGGTGAGGAAACCTTCGTCCTAACAAAACATAAGCCCCAAAAAAAATAGAATAATAAGCAAAATAAAAGTAAATAAAAATAACATTCGGACTTGGTTCCTTACAATAAGAGCACTAGGTGCGTGCTCCTTTTCCTCCTCTTCCTCCAAAGACATCTTCTTTAGCATATTCTTCTGCTGCTTTTTTTGAAGGCATTCAAGTTTGTAGGTAGACAACTCGGTACCATCTAATAGATCTTCAGCAGCAGCATTGTCGACTTTTGCCCAGAGATACGATGTCATTGACAACTCTAGTAGGCTCTGTTTCAAATCCCTTAAAGTTTCTTTCTGCAACACAATCAAGCCAGAGGTTCCTGTAGATTGAGTTCAAGGTCCTGCAAGTCACTTCCTGCCAGGCTTTGTCAATAGGACCTAAGCAATGGAAGATATTGAAGTGGTTCTACCAAAAGTCACAGAGAGTTAATTAATTAACTTTTGTCAGAGTTAATCTCAAAGCACCTTTGAAAAAGGGCTTTGGTGTAATATCTTTTAAAGTTAGAAATGATGTGTTGATCCATCAACTGAATTAGTGGAGTTGTATTAGGAGGCAGAAACTTCATGTTGATGAAGTTGAACTATTCCAGTAACTTGGCCTCCATGCCTAGGGGTGGGCAGGAGCATTGCTCATCAAAAGCAGACACTTCAGTGGCAAGTTATTTTTATTAAGCTATTTCCTCACACTAGGAGCAAAAACATCATGGACCCATTCCAGGAAAAACTGTCTAGTCACACAGGCCTTACTGTTAGCCCTCCATATTACAGACAACTTACTTTTCATAACCTCCATGTGTTATTTCTCTTAAACACATGGAAGTTATCCAAATGATACACGAGCAATGGTTTAACCTTAAAATTGCCACTAGCATTGCCACAAAGCAAAATAGTTAGTCTGTCTTTCATTGGCTTGTGTCCGGGCAAAACCTTTTAAGTATGTTCTCTTTGGTATTTTTTTTTCAAAAACAGTTCAGTTTCATTACAATTAAACACTTGTGGGGAATAAAACTCTCAGCAATCACATACACACCAAATTCTTTTACCAACTTTTCCTTCTCTTTTTTGTTCGCACTTGAAAAATTTAAGAAGCAAGGTGGCATACACAGCATGATTCAGCATCTCTATGCTGAACCATGCTGTGTATGCCACCTTGCTTCTTAAACTTTTCAAGTGTGATATATAAGACAATACTGTATATGCCACTTCACTTCTTAAACTTTTCAAGTGTGATATATAAGACAATACTGTATATGCCACTTCACTTCTTAAACTTTTCAAACCAGCCTTGACTAGCCGTAAACACATTAATCTTAGAACTTGAACCTGGGGTTTTCTTGAGCAAATTTTGATGCAGATGCCTTGTTTTCTTACAAATGATAGTCTCTGAAATACTGTCACTGGCTAACTGCTTTTCATTGATCCAAATCAAGAGCAACTTTTCCACTACTTCTAAGGTCTGAGATCTTTGCTTGGTGATCATAGCCACTTCCTTGGCAACATCAGCATCCTTTATTGCTTCCTTGTTCTTGGTACAGATTGATGACTTTCCTAAGTTGAACTACAAAGCTAGATTCGAGACGCAAATGCCATTTTCATGCTTCCGTATGATCTCTTTCTTTCATCTCTGTTGTTATTTTCACTCTTTTTCTTTTCACCTTTACACTTACACTAGCTTTCTTAGGTTCCATGATGGCTTATGGAATAAAAAAAAAGAAAAAAATTACTATGCAAGAAAAATTGCAAAAGTCAAAGAACAGTTTGCTGCAAAGTGATGCCACGCTGCTGGCTCCATAGATTATACACACATAAATGGACAACTTCAAGAAAATCACATGACTAAAGGTATACAGTGCACCATTGGCTGAAGCATGATATGACAATGATCATGCTATTTACATTTTAACGTTTAACGTGAGTGATGTCATTAGTTTCAATTTACCATGGTGTAAGATTTCCTTTGTTTCTAGCACTGTAGTTTATAATTTAATATAAAATGAAAATTAGAGTTAAATGCATAATTTATGGAAGCAATAATTTGCTATTGTTCACTTTCCTGAAAATTCAGAGAAGTAATAAATAATATTTTTGTATGATAATTAAAATTTTTTTTCTGGCTTATCAATATCCATGTTTTTCTAAAAGATGTTTATTAAAAGTTCTTGCATTTAATTAATACTGTTGAATATAATGCCAAACGTCAATTATGAACTAATATGAAATAATATAAAAAATATATTTGATAATACATTTTTGTTATTTAATTTGAGTTAAACATCTTTAAATATGAGTTATTGGATGTCATTTATATTATGCAAATATCAATTAATACAGTTTTTATGAATTTGATTTAAATTGAATTGTGATGCATACCAAAAACTGGAAGTAGTGTTTTACCCACATGTACATTGGAATCTAATTTGAATAACATCATCATTGATGGTTTGTATTGGGACGTCCAATGACACGAGGAGAATCTTGGTGCCACTACTGAATTGGTAGTCCTGTGATTGATTGGTCAGGCTGTCGACTTTAATGTAGGAAGTATAGGAAGTTGACCATCGGTGGGCATCTCTGTTGAGTAACTTGTTCATAAACCAACTTATAGTATGACAACTGGAACAAATATGGCATTTTGTTCATAAAGCAAATTGTTTATAAACAGGGAAGTTCATAACCCGAGGTTTGACTGTATACACATTTCAAGACAAACACAGATAAATTTTAGAGTTTAATTAATTTATTTCTTTTTATATAAGAATAAAGTAGACATTAATGACATGCTTTTGTAGCTTTTCATTACCTTATATGGTTTGAAATCTGTTGCAAAGGATTTCAAAGAACATGCTTGTAGATTCACTAAAGTGTTGATACTGAAGAAAGACCAGATGTTTGTAATTTGTGTCAAAAATCATTTATTATTAGAAATAAGCTTAAAATGAATTTAAGATTTGTATAAGTGAGGTGCCATATTTGTAAAGCAAGTGTAGGAATATGAGTATGGATCTGAAGAGTCATCTAAGGATTCATCAAATAAAAACTAACTTATATATTTGTGATTCTTGTGATAAGACATTTAGGAGGGGTTGTGATTTACGTATGCATTAAAGATATTTGCACTAGAATCAGGCCTCAAATACTTGAGTCTTGCTGAAAAGGTTTGTTTAATAATAGTAAATTGTTAAATCATCAAAAGTGTCAAACTGAAACACTTCCAAACTTTGATTCAAATCTTCATCTAATGTTCACTGGATGAAGATTTGAATAAACTACAAACATGTAAAAATTCATAGCAAGATGTAAACAAAAGGATGCATTAAGACAATTTCAGAGTTTTTTTGTGTTTGTCTTTACAGTGAAGTTATTAAAGTTGAACTTTTTAATATAATATACTTGCTGGTCGGATGCAAGGTGATTATGGCATTAGTTCTAGTAAAAGGCCCTCTTAGTTTTCTCAGGGTTGGAGAGTCAAAAAATAAATATATGTATATAGTAAATATTTTATATAGAACAAATGACAATGCAAATTCAAATAAACAAATAACATTTTTATGGTAGTAATTATCATTTGATTTAATGCTCAATTAATTTCAGGTTTTAGCTAAATTGAATAATAAAAATAATGCTGCTGGTTGGGTCCCTTCAACTTTAAACAGAACTGCATCAGCTTTCAGTCAGCAAGGTATATAATAGTAATGATTTATTTTATATTCTTATACATTTATTTATTTTTTATTACAAACAATTTTTAAATAAAACGTTATCTTTCAGCCAAAAGTATCATAAGCCCAATAGTATCGGGCACAATCCAAAAGCAGCCAACCCAAACAAGTACCTCTAAAAGCGGAAGCAAAAATACCCAAAATGTACCAAGTCAGTATTGAGAATAAGAATTAAAATGTAATAAATTATAAATTTAATTAATTCCAAAATGAAACAAATGTTTTAGAGATTGAAATTGAGGAGAAAGACGATACGTGGTATTCGATATTTCCCGTTGAGAATGAAGAACTCGTCTATGGTTGTTGGGAAGACGATGTCATTTGGGATACTCAGGTTTGTGTTTCATTTAATTTTTAAAAATAGTCTGCATAAAATTTCAGTAATGCATCAGCTAATTCAGTCAAAAATTTAATATAAATAGAATTATTATTAATAGTCAGACTTTGAAATATTAAATAATATCTTGTAATTAAAGATATTATTGCATTAAATATCCTGTTTATAACAATTTCCAAAACAGCCAGGTTAGTGGCCAAGGTGGCTAAAGTATCAGCCTGCTGCTTTGGGGGACCTAGGATCAAATCTGGGCAGACAAAAACCTCAGAAATTTTTTGGGACTGATCTGTCCTGGATATCTTGGGCCCCATGCAGCTGCCCATTAGCCTGGTTGAACTTACGATGTGTTTGAAAAACTGCCCAGAGGAGATAGAGTTAAAAATAATTTCCAAACGTTTCTTCTTTTTTACATAGCAGTGTTTTTTTGTACTGAATTTGTAAAAAGTATCATTCATTTTTAGGCTGTCACTAAATTGCCCGAGCCAAAAATTCTAACTTTAGATCCAAATGATGAAAATATTATTCTCGGAATTCCTGCCGATCCAGATCCTAATCAACAAAGCAGTAGTGAGCCTGTCAAAGAAAAGAAGGTAATGTTTTTATACTTATTTCTCCATTTAGAATAGACTATTTTGAATCTTATACAGTCAATCCCCCTATAACGCGGGTTCATATAATGCGGATTCGTATATCGCAGCGAAAAAGTTGCGACCGTATTCATATAAAGACACTAAAAGAGACTCATAAAATGCGGTAAAACATCATTGCCGACTTGTGTCGCGACAGGATTGGTCGAATGTGGACCAATAGTGGATGAGCAGCCGAACTACTTACATGCTATAGAGAGTTTAGGCAGATAAGTTGAGTTTACTATCATCTGTACTGTATATAAATTAGGTACTGTAAGTCTAATACAGTACTGTAATTTTATACATTTCTTGTGAAAAAAACATTTCTTATNTACGGAGAGTTTAGGCGGGTAAGTTGAGTTTACTATCGTCTGTACAGTATATAAATTAGGTACTGTAAGTCTAATACAGTACTGTAATTTTATACATTTCTTGTGAAAAAAACATTTCTTATTCATAAAAATTATTTTTATTAATGATGTCTCCAAAGTTCAGTGAATTTTTCGCAGAAAAATAACTTATCAGAAAATGCGCTTCCGTTTGATGCGCTGCTCTGCGACAAAAACAAGCTTAAGCAATGGCATCGTTGAACAGTGCACACTCGGTAAGTAATCCTACAATTTTTTGTTTATAGCATAGTTTATATGGATTATTTCCAAAAAATTATACGTGTTTTGGAAATGTTGAGTCAAATTAGTCNAGCTTAAGCAATGGCATCGTTGAACAGTGCACACTCGGTAAGTAATCCTACAATTTTTTGTTTATAGCATAGTTTATATGGATTATTTCCAAAAAATTATACGTGTTTTGGAAATGTTGAGTCAAATTAGTCTAGAATCGATTAATTTTATGGAAGAAAATCTTTCAAACAGCCGAAGCCCATATACTGCACACGTGCCGGGCTGTGATTGGCTCATGTATTTAAGGATTCCTACAACGTGAAATTCTTATAAAGTGGAATGTATCTACTGCGTTATAGGGGGTCAACTGTAATGATTTATGATGTATGAAAATCTACTTAAATAAAATTTAACATAGCTTAGGTAGATATAAAAGTAGTTAAAGGGATCCTTGTAGGTTTTGTACTAGTTACTATTTAGATGACAATGTTATGAGGAATTGATTCCAAAGTTTATTCTATTTTCTTGGGTTGTTATGTATTGTTTCAGTTCTTTTCTCATTTTGGGGAGTTTGTTTTGTTAAATAGGTAAAAAACCTGTACCCTCCATTTAAAAGCTGATAGCTGCTCGTGCTTATGATTGCTTACAATCAGCAGGTTTTAGTCATAATGCAGTGATTGAAAACTAAATATCAAATACCATAGTAGAGATAACAGAGACTTATCACAATGCTACTGGTGTGATAAGTCTTGTTATTTCTATAGTATTTGAAATTTAGTTTTCAGCAATTTTTGAGACAAGAAACGCTCATATAATAATACAATGAGTTTAAGCTGTTTTATTTTAACATAAAGGTCATTCTATATAATTATAATTTAATTAAGATATAAACTTTTGATGATTATTTTATATCAATTGTATCATTCTGTATAATTTATGCAAACATACGATTTCACTCTTTAATGATATGCATCATTATTTGACAGTGTAGCCTTTCTTAGATTTTTTATAATTTACCTCTGTGCTCAAATGGAAACATAAATATATCCAGATAAATTTTAATTATAAATTAACATATAATAAATATCTTTTAATTTTTGGTACTAAAATGTTATTAATAAATAGAAAATTGAACAACAATTGAAATATAAAAACATTATAAATAATAGGGTTTGCTAATATAAGACAAATTAGTATATATTTTTATAATTTTAATGTATATAAAGTATTTTTTATTATTTAATTAAAAGAAAGAGGATTGTATTTATAGGACATGGTTCGAAAATCACGTATTTTATTGGGAAAAGCGGGAGTCATAGCGGAACCAGAATCTCCAAGTCCAGTAAGTTTTAAGATTAACAAATGTTTTAAACTAGATTTTAATGATGTAATTAAGTAAATATTTTTAATTAATATATTTTTTAATCTGTACATTTGCTTAAATATGCAGTTCATTTTACAATATTGATATAATTGTGAAAGATAAGTGATTTAGATGGGAATAATAATGAATATCAAAGCATTATATCGCTATACATTGTTCAATGTTTTGTAAATGAAAATCTTGTTTGGAAGTAGGTATCATAAAAAAAATGGAAAAATAATTGATTAAACAGTTTTTTATAAGCAAGATTTTAAGAATAATTTTCTCCTCTTATAGATTTTAAAGTATTGAATGCCATTAAATGCACCAATGGAACTTACTTAGTAAAAGACTATAAGCTTAATTTGGTATCAAATTTTGGGTTAGTGCTAATGTAAAGCCAAATTATATAATAAATGCAAAGCTTTATTTAGGAAAAAGGAAACTTGTGTTCTTGGATTATTGTTAGGAGAAAAACCATTTTGAATTGTCAGATTGCTTTAATGGAGCTATTAAACTCTGAAAAAGAAGTAGAAATTTTTGAATCGGAAGATCCAGATTACAAAAGAAGTTCTAAACTTGCTTCAAGTTTAATGAAGACTCATTATTGTTACCACAAAATATATTGAGATGAGAAGATCATTGCTAACGAAAGAGAATGCATCATTGTTGTCAAAAGAATGAAGCTTTTTATACATTTTGTTTTTATTTTATATACTGTGCTACTTATTTTTTTCTTCTTTAATTAAGAAATTCATTTTTTAAGCATCATTTTATTATTTTTCCTCTGTTTTAAAAGATTTTATACAGAATTTCCTTACATTAGAATGTAATTCCATTTAATGCATTGTTTTCTATATACATTTATACCTCACTTTATGAACTTCCACTTTACAAATTATTGTTAAGAATGAGTTAGTTTGTACAGGTAAAGTTTTCCTCTATATGTATATCTTTTTCCATTTATTCCTATTCATCCAGTATACCAGTATATTTTCTTTAACTTCTGATAGTTTTTTCTCTTTTTTCCACATTTAATTCTATCTATCAGTCTATGCCTAGGTCTCTCATGGGTCTTTTTCCTGATATGTTTAGTCAAAAAAATTTCCTTTTATAGATGATTATTTTCCATTCTCTGAAGATATCCATGTCGTTTCATTCTCTGAGTTTCCACTTCTTCTATGATGTTCTTGAGGCTTGTTTTTTCATTGATTATTTGTTATTCTTTCAAGTTATGTCTTAAAATTGCAATGCTAGGGAAAGTATGTTATATTGGATCAAGGCTTAAAGGATGGATAGATAGGCCTTGATAGTGTAAAATGATTATATACACATCACATATACAAATGATAAGTGCAAGTTAGATCCACTAAACTTTCCCACAATGGATATAAAAGGTATGCTGTAGTGCTGTTACTAGACTTTCTTCACAATATTCAGTTTGAAGGTAGAAAATTTCCTCTTGAATTTCAGCTATAGATTTCAGGATTTACATAGATTTCTGTGGATGTTTTGGAGTAGGATCCTCTAAAAATAATTGTGTACCTAATTCAATAAATTAAGAAATGTATTATGTAGAGTAATTTTAAAAAAAAATTAAAATCAGAGGAAACAATTTTTCTTTTATTCCATAAAATATCTGCAAATACCACAAGTTTCTCAATATGGAGACACTGCTGTGAAAAGCTATTAGATGAATGCATTTTGTTACATTATAAGGACCAATATTTTATGTTACAGTGTGGGATTTTCTATTTGGTTTCACTCCTGTTTCTGCTTCATATACATTGCTCGTAGCTTGACCAACCAGCAGTACATAACACAGGATATGGGGTGGTGTCCTATCTTAAGAAGTTTTCTGGTGTTATAATTCAACAGGACAAGGACATTTGATCATATGTTACATGAAATATCATACATTTCTATTATCACCTAGAGCTACTTTCTCCTGGCCTGAACATTCACAGCATTTGTCCTAATTGAAGAAGTTCTGACATGACAATTGGCTTGTCAGACCCCACAAGCAGTTATCAAGGATGAACTTTGTGCATTTGTCACCTAGCAATGGCAGACACATTCAACGTCTTTTCTTATTTGTGCCAAACTATGTAAAATTGATTGATTTTTGTCCTTGTTGGATATGCCAAACATTGATTATTGGTTGTATAATATGTGACCAAGCTGTACTTCCAATGGTGTATATACCGAGACAAAAGAAGTAATCAGTCATTAAAATATTGTTTTGATATCTCATATCTTTCTCAATATTTCAGTTTTAACAGACAGCAGTTTATAATTTAAAAGAAATTATTTAAAAATATATATTAAGAAAGCTTATATTGAATGATAACTGAGTTTTTGTGTGTTTATATATTTTTTTATTTAATTTTATGAAGCACATTACTAGATAAAATAATATAAATAAATTCATATGCCTTTAAAATCCAGCATTAATTTTTTAATGAATAAAGGTTTACATATTTATTCAGTTTTATGTTAAATTTTATTTATCATAATTAATATATTTAAATAATTCATCAAAAACTTTTTATTTAAGCCTCCGCCTCAAACTGTTGAAAAGGATCAGTTCAATATATCAAATGATGAATATTATAATCCAAAAATGACTCAAGACAGTGCATTAAAACCAAACGTTGGAGGTAATTTAATACAGGTGAGAATAAAATATTAACTCTTTAATGAATTATATAGTTTATATTTACAAGATACTCCTTCCTGGTATGCCAAAACCTTTAAGATTTATTAATAAACTTATATTTTATGTTGTTTTACAACTTGCTGGAGGAGTACTGAATCGTTAATGTAAACAAAAAGAAAGGTTAAAATGTAATGAGTAGAATATAAACAGTGGTATTAATATTCCAAAATGAGTTATATTAATCTACAATATATTGTACTGTATTTATTTGATTCTAACACTATTAATTCAAAATTTAAGGGACATGAAAATTTTTATAAGCTTCAGTAGCATAAATTTATCAACAAAATTACCTACAATTTTTATTTTTGATTAAAATGCTAAAATAATTGAATAAACTATATATACATCACAGCATTTACAGTGGTCTTCTGTATACATATGTTTATGTTTCAATGCTACATAATAATGTAATCTTTCTTGAGATATTTTAAATGATAAAAGACTACAGATGATAACAGGATGAATAGATATGATGAAATAATGACCACTCTTACTTTGTCAAACTGGGAAGTTTCTTTTAACATTGAATGATGTCTGGATGTTATTCTGGTTGCATAAACATTACAATGTGAATCTTATATTTAAGGATTATAGGAAGTCCTTGACTTTCATATAAACTTTTTCGTACATAACACTTTGATATCCCTGTCACTTCTAATACAAATTCATGCTTTTGTACACTTTTAGCTGCCAAAGAAAATGTTGTGCTATTGTGTAGCAGCTCTTTCTGCCAGTTTTGTTTTTATTTTTATTGTCTGTTTAATCTATGATTATAATGTTTTACGCCTTGTAATATATTTACTGTAAAAAGTAAAACTTTTCTACCTTAACCTGATATTTACACAGTTGTTTTAATAAGAGATTTTATTAATAGTCTGGGAAATGGAATACAATATGCTACTCTATTGTTTGACTTTCATACAATTTTTTAGAAACACATTACATGCAAAAGTCAAGGACTCTTTGTACTGTATCCATTGTTATACCATGTTGAACTTAAAATTGAAAAAAAATGACTAAGATAATGTAATTCCCATATCATTTTGTTTATTTAAAATGATTATTATTAATATAATTATTCTGTTACTTCAAAAAATTAACTTTACTAATATGTTATTTAGCATTCAATTCCCGCTATTGAACTTCGTGCTCCCTTCTTCCCGACGCACATGGGTCCATTAAAGCTTCGAAGTTTTCATCGTCCAATGCTAAAAAGATATTCGCACGGTCCAATGTCTCAGCCAGGCACTCATGGAGTAATTCCTCTGCTTAAACACATTAGAAGGAAAGCTAAGGTAACTACGATTTAACAATAATTTTGTATTTATTGTAAAAAAACAAAATTTGAATAATTATTAATTAAATAATTAATTTTGTGATGAAATTTATAAATTAAAATGTAATTACAACAGTTGCGGGAACAAGAAAGACAGGCATCAGGAGGTGGAGAGATGTTTTTCATGAGAACTCCAGAAGATCTGACAGGAAGAGATGGCGAAATTATTCTTGCAGAGTATTCTGAAGAGCACCCTCCTTTAGTTATGCAAGTTGGCATGGCTACAAAGATAAAAAATTATTATAAGAGGGTAAATTTATACTTATTTGTTAAATAAGAAATTAAAAACATGATGTTAAACTGATTTTCACTTATTTTTTAAAGTATTTTACAACTTTTTATTATTACTTCCCATGAAGGAAAATAATATCTTTCCAGCAGAATTATTTATTCAAATAAATATTTTGAAAAACTATTTGGCAGGTCATTTTCAGATTATATATGAATTTACATTTAGAATTCAATTTATAAAATTCAAAGTTTGATAATTCAATTTATACATTGGAGTCTATATGTGAATTTTTATGTAACTAGAAGATGATTTGTCAAACGAAGCAAAAACATTTATGTAATTAAATTAAATAATTTTAATTATTGAAAAAAGATATTATTTTTTTAATTGTATGTTATTTTACTGTATTATCCCTTGAACACTAATTGGAAATTTTGTATGTCAAAGTTCTGTTGAACATTTGAGAGAAAGTTTGAATGCGAGGACAGCTCTACACAAGAATGGAATTATTCTGGTTCAGATGTTCAATAGAACTTTAACAGGTGTTTAGAATTTTCAATTCATGTTCTAATGATCTGAAAAATGCTCAGTCCAATAAAATTTTGACTCCTTCAATCAGTACAGTTTTGTTATATTTTTACTTGTTACCCTACTTGGTATTTATTTATATTATTACCTCAGTGCTAATGTTTAATCTTTAATATTCTAAAACAAATGAATCTACACAAGATTTATTTGAATAAAATCTTATATTACATGTATAAAATTTTGATTTTAATAGTCTCAGAAGTTTGAATCCTCAGAAATATTCATGGAATGACTTGAATAGTATGGAATATTCAGTTCCACACTATTCAGTCTTTCACATTATGGATTGGCAAGAAGGACTTGCAAAAAATATCTTTTTAATGGGATACCATTAAAAATTTAAATTTCCATTAAATTATAAATTAAAAATTTAAATTCCCATTAACTTATAAATTCTTTTGTTACTAGTATAAATTCTGTTAGGGATATACAGGATAAGACTCCTTATCTGATAAAGAGACTCTTTTCTTTTATAAAAACAATATATATTTTATAAAGTATATCATATCTATTGAAGATGAGTTAATTTAAGTTTCAAATTCACACTCCTTATAAATTTTTATGTTATTCTATTCTTAATATATGCATTTGGAACTTAAATTAACCCATCTTTAGTAGATATCAGTGGAATGTAGTCCTTGTAAATTGTGTATTATCTTTATAAGAGCCAGTTTGTGCATCAAAAATTATGCTTACAAGTTTATAACCAGTGTAATATGTAACTTTAAAGATCATGGTGTTTGCATGTAACTCATTATACTTATTTTGAAAACAATGTCTACATCAAAGGAAGTAAGCAATGAAACAAAATGAAATTATTGTAAGAAATATTGTAATAATTAAATGTGAATGCCATTCAAGCCATGATTATCTTTGATCCAACAGTTAATGAGAAATTATTTAGTATATAAATCACCAATTGTTCATGATTTGGCCATGCAGTCATGAGATCTTGCATTTTTTGCACTCCATTCTTTGTTGAGTCCTAGAACACTTTCCGTGACCTCAAGAGAGTTGTATTTCTTAAATTTCTTTACTTGATTTAGCTTATTCTCTTTTAACATACTGCAAAGTTTAAATCTAAAACTATAAATATTTATCAGTTTCTATTCATTTAGTTACCTTGTTACATATTTAATATAGTTTGTGTTTCTTACCTTTTCATTTCATATTATGTCTCAACATAATATGAAATGAATGTTCTGCCTCAATTCATTTTCATTTTTTGTAATGTCTTTGCAACATTGTTAAATAATTCATGGATCTCTTTAAACTTTTTGAACTTAATCCTAGTAAAATTGTCATCTTTTTACTTGCCACATTTGTAAAAGTAACATGAATCTTTTGTTACATGTGATTGTAACAAAAGATTCATTACAAGCAAAGGATTACTTTGATTTGTTACCATTATAACATTATTTTATAATGTAAGCTTCTAATGGGAGATTTTGCTTATACGTATAAGCTCTGTGACTGTTTATAAGGTTATGGTGAAGTATATTATAATGGAAAATACCAATGCACAAACTCACTAAAGAGTATTATCCTAAATCTCCTTGTTAACTTATTGTATATGGAGATTCAGTCCTTGCAGAAGTTGAAAGAACTTTCTAGACAAGCAACAGTTTTCGTCAACCTTCTACAAACTAACATTACATATGATAAATTTTATCATAGATGTGTATATAGGGTATCACTTCAATATTTATTCAGGTTCATCTCTCCAGCATTGTATAAATATTTTATTGGTTATGCAGTCACAATAGTATTAATATATTCACTTTACAGTTAATGTTTGTGAGTACAAGGCATTTTAGTAGCACTTTTAAGATTGCATGATGTTGACTTTTTTTATATAGTCATCAGCATCATGTTTTTCCACATGATTTGTCAATATAGCATTTTTAATTTGCCTCTTTTATTTCCTTTGGAATTATTGCAAGGTTGCTGTTGAGAACAAATCACACAGGAACCCTTTCTGAGTAGTAAAAGTAGGTTTGTTTTCTATAATTTAAAAGGGTTTATAGAATTAAATTACAGAAAATAAACCTACTTATTCCACTCAGAAAGAGTTCCTGTGTGATTTGTTCTCAACAGCAACTTTTTGCTAATTCCGAAGGAAATACAATGAATTGAGAGAACAGTAAGCAATCAAGTACTAATTTGCCTCTTGTTCTCGTTATTGGAAAATTTATGTATTGCTTTGATTTATATGTGCCCCTTTCTCAAATTAATTCATTTATTTTACTGTAAACATTGAACTGAAACAAATGAATTGTCTGCATATATTCATATGATGCTGAAGAGATTTCTTTTATACCTGGAGCTATTATTTTTACTCTTCTACACAATTCAAAATACATAAAAGAAAACTTAGTTTAATCAAAAATAATAATAATTAAGATGATATATTACATCACTTTTCCTACAAGTAATATACAAAAACTAAGTAATTTGTAGACAAGTATATATGTCTTTCTATAGAATTGGTTGCATAAAAAAATCTACAAAAATTGTTGAAATTTAAATTTCTATTTATAGAAACCAGGAAAAGATATTGGAGCTCCGGAATATAAATATGGAGAAACTGCTTATGCTCATACCTCACCATTTCTTGGTTCCTTGGCTCCTGGACAGAGTGTTCAAGCATTTGAAAACAATTTATTTCGTGCACCTATATACGACCACGAAATGCCCGATACCGACTTTCTAATCATTCGAACGAGGCAACAGTTAGTATATACTTTTTAAATTATTTATAAAATGTAATTTAATATAGGGGATATTCAAATATTACATAAGTATTTAAGGAGAGAGGGATGGAAGAAAATCTTATACGGAGAGAGGAGAGGTTAGTTTGTTTCTTATTCAATTATTACCCTGTTAATTATTACCCACTCTTCGTGAGGTCCTGGAATGGTCTACATTGCAGCATCGCATTTATGTACTGATGCTTCATGTGAACATCATAAAAGTTTGTTTTTAAGGAAAAGCTTTTTATTATTTAGTATTTTAAGAATATATTTTATCCATTGGTTTTGTATTATTCTGTATATAAATTTTTTTTATTAATATAATAGTATTTTCCATTGTATTACATGCAATTTTTTCAGCATACAGTAGGGATATCACTCCCCACAGGGACAGTGAATGCATCAGTTCAAATTAATATACAAAATCTGTTGTATCTCATATTTATTCCCTTATTTTCACAGGCAAGAAAGGGGATAAATTAATACAAGTTTATACAGTTTAGGGGATTACAATGCTCCTTATTTTAAGTAAATAATTCTATATTTATAGGTATAGTATTTCATTCAGTAAGTAAAATATTCGAAGGTTAAAATGTACAATTTATATCTTTGGATATTTTACTTACTGAATGAAATACTATACCTATAAATATAGGATTATTTAGNTTAACTAAAATCTTTAATGTACTGAACATACAGTTTAATGAACTTTTTAATAAATATTCAAAAATATTCATTGACCATTTTCATTATTTTTGTCATCCTAACATTTAACAGTTTAGATTACTGATTAGAGAACAATATATGACACTTCATTTTACTGAATATTTTCATGTCATGCTAAAATCACATACCACTAAGTCAATTAATTTGTAACTATTATTTTATGTAATACTTATTTCAACTTAAAAATTATATATAGATTTCAACCTAGTTGCATCAAATCTCTTTCTGGACAAGGTATTGTTCGTGTTATAGCTGGAAGTGAACATTCTGTTGCTCTTACAGCAGACTGCAAAGTTTACACTTGGGGAAAAAATGATAGTATGCAGCTTGGACATAGTTTAAGTTCAAAATCAGTGTTATCACCTAAAAGTATTGAAGTAAGTTTATTTTATTATGAGTAATCTAGTAATAAAATGATAACATTTTACTGTTTTAATTAACAGCTATCTCAGCATCTGGTATGGGATATAGCAGCTGGTGCCAATCACACTTTATTACTGACAGATATCAAGACAACTCATATAGCCCTTTTCTATTGTGGTAGTCATGACAGGTAACTAAGTTTACAACAACCTCTAGCTATATATTTATTATATTATGATTTAATGTGTTATTACTCTAAATATGATTTATTTATGGAAAGTTTTTGGGTAGAATTGTCAGCTGTTATAGTGTTTACTGGAGCATAATAATTATTATAAAAAACATTTTATATAAAAAATTTTAAACTTGAAAACTTTATATATATGCACATATATGTGTAGTGATAATTAATCTTTGAAGAAAATCTTATAAATATGTTTACAATTGAATTATTATTAAACAAAAATATTATATATAAATTTATCTGCTGATTCATTAATAGTGACCTTATTTTGTCTTGTTTGATTAGAATGTTTATTAATGCATAACTTTTCAGTGCAAATAATTCAGAAAGTTGCTCATGTTTGAAGAGAAGAGGTCTTATTCAACTCAATATTTTAAAAAAGGTATAAATATACTGTATAATATTTTGTTTTTCCTTCACTATCAATATAAATGTTAATATTATTAATTATTTTAGAGTGGTTTAGTTACAAGGATATTTGCTGGTGGACCTTATGCAGGATGTGTTGTTGATCAGCAAGGCATTGGTGAAATGCCTGTTCTACATGAATTTGCTGCAACAGAAAGAAGATATTATAATCAATTACAGATTATTCTATCAAAAGTATTCACACCGATGTTGAAAGATGATAAAAGTTAGAAAAACTATTTACTTTAATAATTTTATAATCTAAAAATTAAAAACAATAATAATCTAATAATAGATATTAATGTTTTATCAGGTCAACATTTACTTGATATTTCTCCAATATTTGCTGATTCTGTTAAATCCTTAATTGGCCAATTTGCTGAAATGATAGATATGGTTTCATTGAATGCAAATGATTTAACACTTCTTGTTCAGGGACAATGTCATTTTGATTCTATTTATATATTAGAAAATGAAGAAGAATGGTTGAATTTATATTTAAATTACATCAAATCTCTCAGTGATGTTATTGCTGTTAATGCACTAACTGCATATGGAAAACATGTTGGGTAATGATGAGCATTTTAAAAATCATTGTAAAATGTAATTATAAATATAACTTTATAACATTAATTTTTAAAAACTTTTAGTCCATCTGTGACAAGTATTGCACATAATATCCTTGGAGATATTGGATTAGAGCAAAAAAGCATTCTTGATATCTTGATTTATTTATTGCATATACCCATTAAGAGAATAATGGATTATGTTAGATTATTTACAAGAATTTCAGCAATTGTTCCTAAGGTAACATTTTATATTTTAATCTAAAATTAATATATTTAAATAATGGATTATGTTAGATTATTTACAAGAATTTCAGCAATTGTTCCTAAGGTAACATTTTATATTTTAATCCATAATTAATATATTTAAATAATTCATCAAAAACTTTTTATTTAAGCCTCCGCCTCAAACTGTTGAAAAGGATCAGTTCAATATATCAAATGATGAATATTATAATCCAAAAATGACTCAAGACAGTGCATTAAAACCAAACGTTGGAGGTAATTTAATACAGGTGAGAATAAAATATTAACTTTTTAATGAATTATATAGTTTATATTTACAAGATACTCCTTCCTGGTATGCGCAAACCTTTAAGATTTATTAATAAACTTATATTTTATGTTGTTTTACAACTTGCTGGAGGAGTACTGAATCGTTAATGTAAACAAAAAGAAAGGTTAAAATGTAATGAGTAGAATATAAACAGTGGTATTAATATTCCAAAATGAGTTATATTAATCTACAATATATTGTACTGTATTTATTTGATTCTAACACTATTAATTCAAAATTTAAGGGACATGAAAATTTTTATAAGCTTCAGTAGCATAAATTTATCAACAAAATTACCTACAATTTTTATTTTTGATTAAAATGCTAAAATAATTGAATAAACTATATATACATCACAGCATTTACAGTGGTCTTCTGTATACATATGTTTATGTTTCAATGCTACATAATAATGTAATCTTTCTTGAGATATTTTAAATGATAAAAGACTACAGATGATAACAGGATGAATAGATATGATGAAATAATGACCACTCTTACTTTGTCAAACTGGGAAGTTTCTTTTAACATTGAATGATGTCTGGATGTTATTCTGGTTGCATAAACATTACAATGTGAATCTTATATTTAAGGATTATAGGAAGTCCTTGACTTTCATATAAACTTTTTCGTACATAACACTTTGATATCCCTGTCACTTCTAATACAAATTCATGCTTTTGTACACTTTTAGCTGCCAAAGAAAATGTTGTGCTATTGTGTAGCAGCTCTTTCTGCCAGTTTCGTTTTTATTTTTATTGTCTGTTTAATCTATGATTATAATGTTTTACGCCTTGTAATATATTTACTGTAAAAAGTAAAACTTTTCTACCTTAACCTGATATTTACACAGTTGTTTTAATAAGAGATTTTATTAATAGTCTGGGAAATGGAATACAATATGCTACTCTATTGTTTGACTTTCATACAATTTTTTAGAAACACATTACATGCAAAAGTCAAGGACTCTTTGTACTGTATCCATTGTTATACCATGTTGAACTTAAAATTGAAAAAAAATGACTAAGATAATGTAATTCCCATATCATTTTGTTTATTTAAAATGATTATTATTAATATAATTATTCTGTTACTTCAAAAAATTAACTTTACTAATATGTTATTTAGCATTCAATTCCCGCTATTGAACTTCGTGCTCCCTTCTTCCCGACGCACATGGGTCCATTAAAGCTTCGAAGTTTTCATCGTCCAATGCTAAAAAGATATTCGCACGGTCCAATGTCTCAGCCAGGCACTCATGGAGTAATTCCTCTGCTTAAACACATTAGAAGGAAAGCTAAGGTAACTACGATTTAACAATAATTTTGTATTTATTGTAAAAAAACAAAATTTGAATAATTATTAATTAAATAATTAATTTTGTGATGAAATTTATAAATTAAAATGTAATTACGACAGTTGCGGGAACAAGAAAGACAGGCATCAGGAGGTGGAGAGATGTTTTTCATGAGAACTCCAGAAGATCTGACAGGAAGAGATGGCGAAATTATTCTTGCAGAGTATTCTGAAGAGCACCCTCCTTTAGTTATGCAAGTTGGCATGGCTACAAAGATAAAAAATTATTATAAGAGGGTAAATTTATACTTATTTGTTAAATAAGAAATTAAAAACATGATGTTAAACTGATTTTCACTTATTTTTTAAAGTATTTTACAACTTTTTATTATTACTTCCCATGAAAGAAAATAATATCTTTCTAGCAGAATTATTTATTCAAATAAATATTTTGAAAAACTATTTGGCAGGTCATTTTCAGATTATATATGAATTTACATTTAGAATTCAATTTACAAAATTCAAAGTTTGATAATTCAATTTATACATTGGAGTCTATATGTGAATTTTTATGTAACTAGAAGATGATTTGTCAAATGAAGCAAAAACATTTAAGTAATTAAATTAAATAATTTTAATTATTGAAAAAAGATATTACTTTTTTTAATTGTATGTTATTTTACTGTATTATCCCTTGAACACTAATTGGAAATTTTGTATGTCAAAGTTCTGTTGAACATTTGAGAGAAAGTTTGAATGCAAGAACAGCTCTACACAAGAATGGAATTATTCTGGTTCAGATGTTCAATAGAACTTTAACAGGTGTTTAGAATTTTCAATTCATGTTCTAATGATCTGAAAAATGCTCAGTCCAATAAAATTTTGACTCCTTCAATCAGTACAGTTTTGTTATATTTTTACTTGTTACCCTACTTGGTATTTATTTATATTATTACCTCAGTGCTAATGTTTAATCTTTAATATTCTAAAACAAATGAATCTACACAAAATTTATTTGAATAAAATCTTATATTACATGTATAAAATTTTGATTTTAATAGTCTCAGAAGTTTGAATCCTCAGAAATATTCATGAAATGACTTGAATAGTATGGAATATTCAGTTCCACACTATTCAGTCTTTCACATTACGGACTGGCATGAAGGACTTGCAAAAAATATCTTTTTAATGGGATACCATTAAAAATTTAAATTCCCATTAAATTATAAATTCTTCTGTTACTAGTATAAATTCTGCTAGGGATATACAGGATAAGATTCTTTATCTTATAAAGAGACTATTTTCTTTTATAAAGACAATATATATATTTTATAAAGTCTATCATATCTATTGAAGATGAGTTAATTTAAGTTTCAAATTCACACTCCTTATAAATTTTTATGTTATTCTATTCTTAATATATGCATTTGGAACTTAAATTAACCCATCTTTAGTAGATATCAGTGGAATGTAGTCCTTGTAAATTGTGTATTATCTTTATAAGAGCCAGTTTGTGCATCAAAAATTATGCTTACAAGTTTATAACCAGTGTAATATGTAACTTTAAACATCATGGTGTTTGCATGTAACTCATTATACTTATTTTGAAAACAATGTCTACATCAAAGGAAGTAAGCAATGAAACAAAATGAAATTATTGTAAGAAATATTGTAATAATTAAATGTGAATGCCATTCAAGCCATGATTATCTTTGATCCAACAGTTAATGAGAAATTATTTAGTATATAAATCACCAATTGTTCATGATTTGGCCATGCAGTCATGAGATCTTGCATTTTTTGCACTCCATTCTTTGTTGAGTCCTAGAACACTTTCCGTGACCTCAAGAGAGTTGTATTTCTTAAATTTCTTTACTTGATTTAGCTTATTCTCTTTTAACATACTGCAAAGTTTAAATCTAAAACTATAAATATTTATCAGTTTCTATTCATTTAGTTACCTTGTTACATATTTAATATAGTTTGTGTTTCTTACCTTTTCATTTCATATTATGTCTCAACATAATATGAAATGAATGTTCTGCCTCAATTCATTTTCATTTTTTGTAATGTCTTTGCAACATTGTTAAATAATTCATGGATCTCTTTAAACTTTTTGAACTTAATCCTAGTAAAATTGTCATCTTTTTACTTGCCACATTTGTAAAAGTAACATGAATCTTTTGTTACATGTGATTGTAACAAAAGATTCATTACAAGCAAAGGATTACTTTGATTTGTTACCATTATAACATTATTTTATAATGTAAGCTTCTAATGGGAGATTTTGCTTATACGTATAAGCTCTGTGACTGTTTATAAGGTTATGGTGAAGTATATTATAATGGAAAATACCAATGCACAAACTCACTAAAGAGTATTATCCTAAATCTCCTTGTTAACTTATTGTATATGGAGATTCAGTCCTTGCAGAAGTTGAAAGAACTTTCTAGACAAGCAACAGTTTTCGTCAACCTTCTACAAACTAACATTACATATGATAAATTTTATCATAGATGTGTATATAGGGTATCACTTCAATATATATTCAGGTTCATCTCTCCAGCATTGTATAAATATTTTATTGGTTATGCAGTCACAATAGTATTAATATATTCATTTTACAGTTAGTTTTTGTGAGTACAAGGCATTTTAGTAGCACTTTTAAGATTGCATGATGTTGACTTTTTTTATAAAGTCATCAGCATCATGTTTTGCCACATGATTTGTCAAGATAGCATTTTTAATTTGCTTCTTTTATTTCCTTTGGAATTATTGCAAGGTTGCTGTTGAGAACAAATCACACAGGAACTCTTTCTGAGTGGAAAAAGTAGGTTTATATTCTATAATTTAAAAGGGTAAACCCTTTTAAAATTAAATTACAGAAAATTTATTTAATATTTTCTTAATATTTAATATACTTATTTAATATATAAGTAGGTTTATTTTCTGTAATTTAATTCTAAACCTACAGAACCTACAGAAAATAAACCTACTTATTCTACTCAGAAAGAGTTCCTGTGTGATTTGTTCTCTACAGCAACTTTTTGCTAACTCCGAAGGAAATACAACGAATTGAGAGAACAGTAAGCAATCAAATACTAATTTGCCTCTTGTTCTCGTTATTGGAAAATTTATGTATTGCTGTGATTTATATGTGCCCCTTTCTCAAATTAATTCATTTATTTTACTGTAAACATTGAACTGAAACAAATGAATTGTCTGCATATATTCATATGATGCTGAAGAGATTTCTTTTATACCTGGAGCTATTATTTTTACTCTTCTACACATTTCAAAATACAAGGTCTGTTCAAAAAGTATTGGACCTTTGGTCGGTAAAAATAAATTTATTGACTTTGAGGTACAAAACCCTAATCCCCTTCAAAGTAGTCTCCTTGGTAATGTATACACTTCTCCCAGCATTCCTGTCATTGCTGGAAACACTGCTGGAACGCATCTTTTGGAATGGCCATCAGCCGGTTCGTTGGATTTTGCACGATGTCTTCTCTCGACTAAATTCGGGTTCCTTTTAGCGGCATTTTCAGCTTGGGAAATAGCCAAAGGTCACACGGAGCCATGTGGGGAGAGTATGGAGTGTGACGAACCACAGGAGTGTAATGTTTGGCGATGAAAGCCTGAATCAGATGCGCAGAATGGGCGGATGCATTATCACGATGGAGCTGCCAAGTTTTGATCGACCACAGATCCGATCGTTTGCGTCGCACTGTATCGGAAAGACGACGAAGGACCTCCTGGTAGTACTCCTTTGCGATGGTTTGGCCTTGTGGTGCGTACTCACGACACACCACCCCACGAGAGTCGAAAAAACTGTCAACATGACCTTTGATATTGCTGCGGACCTGCCGCGCTTTTTTTGGCCTCGAGGATCGTCCCCGAAAGCCTGCTGAATCTTGCAAATTTTTTATGCCGGGTATCGCCAAGGTTTTTGGCAAAATTTGATGTAATATCGCTGCTCACGTTGTTCAGTCATTTTCCAGCTTAGTGAAATCCGACGAGAGCGCACTACATGACCTCACTCATAGGCCAATTGCCAACGACTGACGCTTCCTGCAGGCGGGAAAAAATTCAGGGCTGTGCATGACTGTCCCCTCTACAACTCCACCGAAAGAGGCCTGTCGCGCATCATTGGTTTACGCGGAAAAGAAAAAGGTCCGATACTTTTTGAACAGACCTTGTACATAAAAGAAAACTTAGTTTAATCAAAAATAATAATAATTAAGATGATATATTACATCACTTTTCCTACAAGTAATATACAAAAACTAAGTAATTTGTAGACAAGTATATATGTCTTTCTATAGAATTGGTTGCATAAAAAAATCTACAAAAATTGTTGAAATTTAAATTTCTATTTATAGAAACCAGGAAAAGATATTGGAGCTCCGGAATATAAATATGGAGAAACTGCTTATGCTCATACCTCACCATTTCTTGGTTCCTTGGCTCCTGGACAGAGTGTTCAAGCATTTGAAAACAATTTATTTCGTGCACCTATATACGACCACGAAATGCCCGATACCGACTTTCTAATCATTCGAACGAGGCAACAGTTAGTATATACTTTTTAAATTATTTATAAAATGTAATTTAATATAGGGGATATTCAAATATTACATAAGTATTTAAGGAGAGAGGGATGGAAGAAAATCTTATACGGAGAGAGGAGAGGTTAGTTTGTTTCTTATTCAACATTACCCACTCTTCGTGAGGTCCTGGAATGGTCTACATTGCAGCATCGCGTTTATGTACTGATGCTTCATGTGAACATCATAAAAGTTTGTTTTTAAGGAAAAGCTTTTTATTATTTAGTATTTTAAGAATATATTTTATCCATTGGTTTTGTATTATTCTGTATATTAATTTTTTTTATTAATATAATAGTATTTTCCATTGTATTACATTCAATTTTTTCAGCATACAGTAGGGATATCACTCCCCATAGAGACAGTGAATGCATCAGTTCAAATTAATATACAAAATCTGTTGTATCTCATATTTATTCTCTTATTTTCAGAGGCAAGAAAGGGGATAAATTAATACAAGTTTATACAGTTTAGGGGATTACAATGCTCCTGCTTTTTAAGTAAATAATCCTATATTTATAGGTATAGTATTTCATTCAGTAAGTAAAATATTCAAAGGTTAAAATGTACAATTTATATCTTTGGATATTTTACTTACTGAATGAAATACTATACCTATAAATATAGGATTATTTAGTTAATAAAAAGCATAAGAATATAACAAACTTATGATAAAGAAGTACACAATAGTTATACTCACTTATATGGGAAGGAGGGGTTAATGATGACAGAAATTATGTTTGAATATCCATTTATTTATAAGTTAATTAGAATTGCTAACTATCAGTCATAAAAATGATTTGATATTATTCACATTTGATCATTTATGATGATATTTTGATTTGAAAAAGATTAATCTATGGTTAAAACAATTATCATAATGCAGATAGTTTAATGTATTTGTTATAAAGACATATAATAGACTAACATGCTAACTTAATGTCTACATTACATTAACATTGCACTGATTATAAATTAATTAATTATTGCAATTGATGTGTGTATATTGTATTTTAGGTGAATTTAATATGTCACATTCAGCTGAAAGTTGTGTTTATATTTCAGTTACTACATCCGAGAGATCGAAACAATATACACAATAGGCCAAGAGCTGCCGCTCTTTGAAGTTCCAGGTCCAAATTCCAAAAAAGCAAATAATTTTATCCGCGATTTTCTTCAGGTAACTTCTATAAGCAATAAGAATGAGTACAAATAAAAGAAAAATATATAAAATTACTAAGTTACAAAATATTTTAGGTTTTTATCTACCGTTTATTCTGGAAAAACAAAGATACTCCTCGTCGTATTAAAATGGAAGACATAAAGAAAGCTTTCCCATCACATTCCGAAAGCAGTATTCGAAAACGTTTAAAACTATGCGCCGATTTTAAAAGGACTGGTAAGAGTTTGAATTATAAATATTCTAATATATAAAATTTAACTTGAAGTATAATTCATTAATTAATATATTATTGTAATTAGGAATGGATTCTAATTGGTGGGTTCTTAAACCCGAGTTCAGACTTCCGACCGAAGAAGAAATAAGAGCAATGGTTTCACCTGAACAGTGCTGTGCCTATTACGGAATGCTGGCTGCCGAACAAAGATTAAAGGTTTGTTTTCATTTGTATGGTCAATTCTGATGCATTTCAATGTCTAGACATAAATTCATAAACTTAATCAGGATGCTGGTTACGGTGAAAAATCTCTGTTTGCTCCCGAAGAAGAAAATGATGAAGATATGCAAATGAAAATGGATGATGAGGTTTATATCTTTTATATTGAATACATAATGCTTTATTGTATCTGAATATATAGTAATTATAATCTTGTTTTAGGTGAAAACTGCTCCATGGAATACGACACGTGCTTTTATATCTGCCATGAAAGGAAAATGCCTTTTGCAACTAGCAGGAGTAGCTGATCCAACAGGCTGTGGAGAGGGTTTTTCATATGTTAGAATACCAAATAAACCTCAACAATCAAAAGTAATTATTTTTAAAAATTTAACATTAATTTGGATCATCTTTTGACCTTCCTTGCCTTCAGGTTCTTCCTAGATGTTTTTGAACATTATTTTCTATACATTTTTGTAGATTATTGTTTAGTGTTTTTCTGTTGTTGTCATAGATGATGTTCTTTAAACTCCTTTTTCAATCTAAGGAATCAATTTCTTCAATTGAAAGGAATGGAATCTTTCTCTTTCTAGGCCCAAGATCACATTCCCTCTTTTTTATTTTCTGATGATCCTTCTTCTTCAGAACAATAGCAGAATAACCTACGATATTAATTTTATATTTTTTTATATAATATATTCTTTTATTTTGTAAGAATATTGTTTACTTTGATTGTAGAGAAACAGAATTAGTCCATATTAAGAGTTTTTTTTTTTATTTCATCTATTTTATATTAGAAATATAAAACGTGATATTTTGAGTATAGCAATATACAGTGGTTCCTAGTATTTCAAATTTGATTCATTTGAGAAGTATGTTTGAACCTGAATCTTTCAAAATACGAGGCAAATTTTCCCATTAGAAACAATGGAAAGTGAATTAATCCATTCCCAAACCTTAAATGGTACCCATTTCAATAAACTTACAGCAAATTCATATAATTTAAGGTAAAAATAACACAATTAAATGCTCTAATAATAAATTAAAACATGAAAACAGTAAATAGAATGTGTAAATACTGTATAATAAAATGAAAGTTGCATTAACTGGCTGCATGCAGTCGACTTCGACATATTAAACATGGCCGCATGATTCATCACCTGTGTACTGCTTTAATGCTTTGTGATAAGTTTCTTTTTCACCACCCCGCATCAGGATCACCTCAAACTATTGGAGGCAATGGAAATATTTAAGGCGGGATACAAATCCACCTGCATTAATTTTAAGGAGGAAATGTCGCTTTCTACGGCAAGGCAAGTCCTAATGGACAATAATATTTAATTTTATTTAGGTTTATAATGTTTTAAATTAAAAAGCAGTTCACATTTCGAATCTTATAGTAGCATACAATGTTTGAATAAATTGGAATGTGTGCGCTTTTGGAATACGAAATTGAATGCGTTCTAAAGAAGTTTAAGACCAGCTTGCAATAGATTTAAGTAAATGCCTGAAGAAGAGCCAAGAAGAGGCACTAAAACGAAAACATTAGCTCTAAAGAAACATTTTTTTGCTCTGGTTATTTGATTTGAAGTAAGAAGATTTAAGTTTCTTTTTCGTCTAAATTGTTGATATTACATCCTTTCTCTTGTTAGATTTCATTGCTTCCACACAGTTTTCATATTTCATGATTAATAAGTAAAGGTTATATTTGAGTTGAACAGAAAATTTTTGAGTATTTTTAACAGCTGTTGTTACTTAACTTAAAAACTGTGATTTAAATGTGAAATTTATCACATTATTGCTAATTTGAGATTGTATTCTTGATTCAGGAACTTATTTTATGCTTTGAGTGCATAAAATAATGACTCTTCAAAGTTTGAACTCTAAAGTGAATTTTTGTCGAATTTAGCATGTGAAATTAGTCATTTGAAGTATGAGGTACCACTGTACATACACCAACATGTACAGTACATAAGTTCTTGCCAAATTTAAAAGAGTAGCTCACCCTCAAATGTTTATTTGAAATAGATTAAATAAACTCCTGAATAATATATAATAGCTAAATGCTGAAATTTGTCTAGTAAATTTTAGTAATTACTGAGGAACTACATGTGATGTTTGCTCTATTTTTAAATTAATTTTAATTACCCTCATGCTATTTCATTATTATTATTAAGATTAAAATAATACAGATTACAGAGTATAAATTAATACAGATGTATTTAATTATTAAAATTTTCTTTCTGTAGGAAGAAGGAAGCAGTCAACCTCCTGCAAAGAAAACTGTCACAGGTACAGATGCAGATTTGCGCCGATTATCCTTAAGCAATGCAAAACAGTTATTAAGGAAATTTGGAGTTCCCGAAGATGAGGTAATTATTTCAGAACTTAAAATAATTTTTATTAGGATTTTAAAAAAAATAAAACTTAAAATATGAACAATTAATGAATCTTAATTTAAGAATTAAATAACTTTAATAACCTCTTGAGTAGCATTTCTCAAACTATGAGTGTGACCCAATATTGGGTTGTGTTAAAATTTTAATGGATAATGCTTAATTTTATTTTGTTATATAATATACAGTTACTCCAGTTTACCAGGCTTTTTAAAAATTTATATTGTAAACAGTTGGGTTGCAGAATCATTACAAACAAATATATTGGGTTGCATGAAGAAAAAGATTGAGAAATGCTATTCTAGATATCCTGTATTTTGTATTCAGAGAACAGAGACATGTAACATCAATAGAAGGGTAGATACTGAGAAAAATAAACTAAAACTAGTATAATATAATACACATTTAAAATATGTATTACTCTTCTTAATTATTTTGAGTAATTAATTGTTTGACTGTGAATTTATACTTCTTCGTACAGTTTTTACATAAGCTATATTTATAATAATTATTATGATATTTCTGCAATTTCCATGCAAACTTTTCTCATATTTTAAAGATAAAGTGTTACAATTAATGATTTTGTTAGAACTAGAATAAGAATTAAAATATAATCCTCATTAAAAAAACTTGTCTTACGATGCTTACTTTGATCAGCTATGTCAGTATTCATTGTGTAGTAACTTAAATCTGAATTTATGTACAAAATGGTGTCCTGTCTTTTCTAATATCTTTGTGTTTAAACAGAAACATATCTTTTATTTTAATATGCTTATTTTGAATCATCATCAATTTAAAATTAATTAATTAGAAATATTTTATACATCAGCTAATGCAGATTTTCTTTGTTTAAAGAAAGTAGACACTGCAATATTTAAATTTCTATGAGCACAACTTACATTTTTCTTATATTTTGATTAGATAATTTCTTATTTTATTTATCTGATAAAAATTTTTTATGACCCTCTGTAAGCTTAAATTAATAAATTTATTAAAATATAAATGAACCATGAATAAATATTTTATAATTCTTATTCTTTCTAATCAGATTAAAAAGCTCTCGCGTTGGGAAGTTATCGATGTTGTAAGGACTTTGTCGACGGAACAGGCAAAAGCTGGAGAAGAAGGTACGTTTGGTATTTATAGTTATTTTTAAGTAAAAGTAATTTGATATTAAATTTTGATGATGATGATGTTTCAGCAATGAGTAAATTTGCTAGAGGAAATAGATTTAGTATTGCCGAGCATCAGGAAAGATATAAAGAAGAGTGTCAAAGGATATTTGAATTACAAAACAGGTATAAATCAGATAATATTTAAATAATTTGTAATAAAATTCAACTTTAATCATTGTTTACAGAATATAAACTATGTAAAGAATGTAAACAAAAATTAGAGAAAAATATTTAATCAGGAATTTAACTTCATAGTATTTGTAGTAAACAATGTTAATATAATGGAAAGTATACATTCAATGCAACTAGATTACGTGTAGTGGATCAGTAATAGAAACAAATATGCTAAAATAAATAAATGACACAAGAAAAAACAAAAACGAACTATTTTCCTTTATCTTGATGCAGATACTTCCAAGTTTGCCATGGTTGTATAGTTGAAATTAGAATAATGTATTGTGTGTCAGGGAGCTTCTGAGTTCTACTGAAATGGCCTGCTGTAAAAATGAGTTAGGCTGAGACAAAAATGAGGCACGAATATACCCCATCTTTGTCCTTGCATCCCCAGGGCATTACTTAACACATTCCTGACAATGGTTATATTATTGTAATAATAGACTTGGCAGTCCAAATATGGGTCACATTGCTTTGTACTCTTTTCTACATTTTTTATAAGCAATATTATCTTCTAACTATACCAATTCATTTTTCTGTAAGGAATTCATTTTCATTTTTCTATATGCAAATATTTCATGTTGGTGAATGAGACTATTGTAGTGTTATGTACAGCAGATATTGTTTTTTCTCTCTGTAGATATTAAATTGTTAAAATTTAATATTTGAATAATTTTTTCAGAGTTTTGTCATCGAATGAAATATTGTCATCAGATGAAGAGTTTAGTTCTGAAGACGATTCAGATATTGAAGAAATGGGAAAAAATATAGAGAATATGTTGTCAAATAAAAAAACTAGTTCTCAGGTAAAGTGTTGATATCTTGTAAACTGTTATAAATTAAGTGCAGTTATTTTAAAGTATTGAAGACAAAATACAAAATCTCTGGAATACAATTAACACCAACAGAGTCGACTTTTCTTTATAGACTCTTCTCCATCTATACATGTACAAATTGTTTAATTCCATAAAAATTTTTATAATTATCTGACCAAGAACTTCTAAAACATTTTAAAAATTAACTTCTAGTTAAGCATGATGGAGTCTGAACAATATTCTAGTCACATTTGACTAGAACACTATCCGTACTCCATACTAGGGTTTCTCAAACGGGATTCCGGGATCCCGGTTGTTTTTTTAACCTGGGAAATTTTTCTTATCCCGGGAAATCCCGCAAATTTCTTAAAAACTCACTTTTTTTTCTTATTTTGTGTTAAGGTTGAGGAATTTTGCAAATAGAAAGGATAATTAATTCATAAACTGTCAGAATACATTTGTATTTATCAATTTTAAACCTACTTATTAGTTTCTTAAGTTTTNCTTGCATTTTTTGCACTCCATTCTTTGTTGAGTCCTAGAACACTTTCCGTGACCTCAAGAGAGTTAGTTGTATTTCTTAAATTTCTTTACTTGATTTAGCTTATTCTCTTTTAACATACTGCAAAGTTTAAATTTAAAACTACAAATATTTATCAGTTTCTATCCATTTAGTTACCTTGTTACATATTTAATATAGTTTGTGTTTCCTACCTTGAAATGTCTCAACATAATATGAAATGAATGTTCTGCCTCAATTCATTTTCATTTTTTGTAATGTCTTTGCAACATTGTTAAATAATTCATGGATCTCTTTAAACTTTTTGAACTTAATCCTAGTAAAATTGTCATCTTTTTACTTGCCACATTTGTAAAAGTAACATGAATCTTTTGTTACATGTGATTGTAACAAAAGATTCATTACAAGCAAAGGATTACTTTGATTTGTTACCATTATAACATTATTTTATAATGTAAGCTTCTAATGGGAGATTTTGCTTATACGTATAAGCTCTGTGACTGTTTATAAGGTTATGGTGAAGTATATTATAATGGAAAATACGAATGTGCAAACTCACTAAAGAGTATTATCCTAAATCTCCTTGTTAACTTATTGTATATGGAGATTCAGTCCTTGCAGAAGTTGAAAGAACTTTCTAGACAAGCAACAGTTTTCGTCAACCTTCTACAAACTAACATTACATATGATAAATTTTATCATAGATGTGTATATAGGGTATCACTTCAATATATATTCAGGTTCATCTCTCCAGCATTGTATAAATATTTTATTGGTTATGCAGTCACAATAGTATTAATATATTCATTTTACAGTTAGTTTTTGTGAGTACAAGGCATTTTAGTAGCACTTTTAAGATTGCATGATGTTGACTTTTTTTATAAAGTCATCAGCATCATGTTTTGCCACATGATTTGTCAAGATAGCATTTTTAATTTGCTTCTTTTATTTCCTTTGGAATTATTGCAAGGTTGCTGTTGAGAACAAATCACACAGGAACCCTTTCTGAGTAGTAAAAGTAGGTTTGTTTTCTATAATTTAAAAGGGTTTATAGAATTAAATTACAGAAAATAAACCTACTTATTCCACTCAGAAAGAGTTCCTGTGTGATTTGTTCTCAACAGCAACTTTTTGCTAATTCCGAAGGAAATACAATGAATTGAGAGAACAGTAAGCAATCAAGTACTAATTTGCCTCTTGTTCTCGTTATTGGAAAATTTATGTATTGCTTTGATTTATATGTGCCCCTTTCTCAAATTAATTCATTTATTTTACTGTAAACATTGAACTGAAACAAATGAATTGTCTGCATATATTCATATGATGCTGAAGAGATTTCTTTTATACCTGGAGCTATTATTTTTACTCTTCTACACAATTCAAAATACATAAAAGAAAACTTAGTTTAATCAAAAATAATAATAATTAAGATGATATATTACATCACTTTTCCTACAAGTAATATACAAAAACTAAGTAATTTGTAGACAAGTATATATGTCTTTCTATAGAATTGGTTGCATAAAAAAATCTACAAAAATTGTTGAAATTTAAATTTCTATTTATAGAAACCAGGAAAAGATATTGGAGCTCCGGAATATAAATATGGAGAAACTGCTTATGCTCATACCTCACCATTTCTTGGTTCCTTGGCTCCTGGACAGAGTGTTCAAGCATTTGAAAACAATTTATTTCGTGCACCTATATACGACCACGAAATGCCCGATACCGACTTTCTAATCATTCGAACGAGGCAACAGTTAGTATATACTTTTTAAATTATTTATAAAATGTAATTTAATATAGGGGATATTCAAATATTACATAAGTATTTAAGGAGAGAGGGATGGAAGAAAATCTTATACGGAGAGAGGAGAGGTTAGTTTGTTTCTTATTCAACATTACCCACTCTTCGTGAGGTCCTGGAATGGTCTACATTGCAGCATCGCGTTTATGTACTGATGCTTCTTGTGAACATCATAAAAGTTTGTTTTTAAGGAAAAGCTTTTTATTATTTAGTATTTTAAGAATATATTTTATCCATTGGTTTTGTATTATTCTGTATATTAATTTTTTTTATTAATATAATAGTATTTTCCATTGTATTACATTCAATTTTTTCAGCATACAGTAGGGATATCACTCCCCACAGGGACAGTGAATGCATCAGTTCAAATTAATATACAAAATCTGTTGTATCTCATATTTATTCCCTTATTTTCACAGGCAAGAAAGGGGATAAATTAATACAAGTTTATACAGTTTAGGGGATTACAATGCTCCTTATTTTAAGTAAATAATTCTATATTTATAGGTATAGTATTTCATTCAGTAAGTAAAATATTCGAAGGTTAAAATGTACAATTTATATCTTTGGATATTTTACTTACTGAATGAAATACTATACCTATAAATATAGGATTATTTAGTTAATAAAAAGCATAAGAATATAACAAACTTGATAAAGAAGTACACAATAGTTATACTCACTTATATGGGAAGGAGGGGTTAATGATGACAGAAATTATGTTTGAATATCCATTTATTTATAAGTTAATTAGAATTGCTAACTATCAGTCATAAAAATGATTTGATATTATTCACATTTGATCATTTATGATGATATTTTGATTTGAAAAAGATTAATCTATGGTTAAAACAATTATCATAATGCAAATAGTTTAACGTATTTGTTATAAAGACATATAATAGACTAACATGCTAACTTAATGTCTACATTACATTAACATTGCACTGATTATAAACTAATTAACTATTGCAATTGATGATGTATATTGTATTTTAGATGAATTTAATATGTTACATTCAGCTGAAAGTTGTGTTTATATTTCAGTTACTACATCCGAGAGATCGAAACAATATACACAATAGGCCAAGAGCTGCCGCTCTTTGAAGTTCCAGGTCCAAATTCCAAAAAAGCAAATAATTTTATCCGCGATTTTCTTCAGGTAACTTCTATAAGCAATAAGAATGAGTACAAATAAAAGAAAAATATATAAAATTACTAAGTTACAAAATATTTTAGGTTTTTATCTACCGTTTATTCTGGAAAAACAAAGATACTCCTCGTCGTATTAAAATGGAAGACATAAAGAAAGCTTTCCCATCACATTCCGAAAGCAGTATTCGAAAACGTTTAAAACTATGTGCCGATTTTAAAAGGACTGGTAAGAGTTTGAATTATAAATATTCTAATATATAAAATTTAACTTGAAGTATAATTCATTAATTAATATATTATTGTAATTAGGAATGGATTCTAATTGGTGGGTTCTTAAACCCGAGTTCAGACTTCCGACCGAAGAAGAAATAAGAGCAATGGTTTCACCTGAACAGTGCTGTGCCTATTACGGAATGCTGGCTGCCGAACAAAGATTAAAGGTTTGTTTTCATTTGTATGGTCAATTCTGATGCATTTCAATGTCTAGACATAAATTCATAAACTTAATCAGGATGCTGGTTACGGTGAAAAATCTCTGTTTGCTCCCGAAGAAGAAAATGATGAAGATATGCAAATGAAAATGGATGATGAGGTTTATATCTTTTATATTGAATACATAATGCTTTATTGTATCTGAATATATAGTAATTATAATCTTGTTTTAGGTGAAAACTGCTCCATGGAATACGACACGTGCTTTTATATCTGCCATGAAAGGAAAATGCCTTTTGCAACTAGCAGGAGTAGCTGATCCAACAGGCTGTGGAGAGGGTTTTTCATATGTTAGAATACCAAATAAACCTCAACAATCAAAAGTAATTATTTTTAAAAATTTAACATTAATTTGGATCATCTTTTGACCTTCCTTGCCTTCAGGTTCTTCCTAGATGTTTTTGAACATTATTTTCTATACATTTTTGTAGATTATTGTTTAGTGTTTTTCTGTTGTTGTCATAGATGATGTTCTTTAAACTCCTTTTTCAATCTAAGGAATCAATTTCTTCAATTGAAAGGAATGGAATCTTTCTCTTTCTAGGCCCAAGATCACATTCCCTCTTTTTTATTTTCTGATGATCCTTCTTCTTCAGAACAATAGCAGAATAACCTACGATATCCTATATACGACCACGAAATG